CCTACTGTGCCACCAAGCAAGTACTTCTAACTATGATCATCCCCTGCACAGCTAATCCTCTACTGTCTTGGCAAGTATCTTGAATAATAGCTATCACTGGATCCTGAACCCCCATTACCAGGAGGCAGGAGGTACATATCAAACAGTTTAACTTCTTGCTTTCTCCACCTATCTGCTTCAGAAACTAAAGAAAGTAGAAATAAGTTAGAGCTAAAAAATGTTTGGAATGTCGCGTTTTATTATACAAGTTGCTCATGTTTGGGGGGTTTTTTGTGTGATTTTACCACATTTTGATTAAGTATAAAGTGTTACTTTAACCATGACCTTGAGGTGAGTAATTGAAACACTGGATCTGGAAGGAATGAGAATCTTTAGTAGGTGGAGATGAGGATGTAACACTTCATAATTGAAAGGGACTCTAGAAAAAGAACTCAGCAAATAGCATTAAGGATCTGAGTGCTCAGTGATTGACATTCTCCTGCTTTCTGGTCCAGGCTGCTGCTAGGACCAACTTGTTACAAATTAATCAATGATCAAGGAAAATATCATAAGAGATCACTGAGTTGGTTCCAGTGGGACTATGGACTTCCATTCCAAATGGTCCAATAGAAAGTCAGAAAAGCTGAATGTTTTTAGTATCACAGAGTTAGAAGGAACCTTAGAGGTCATGTAGTCCAATCTCATTATTCTACAGGTGACAAAACTGAGGCACAAAGAAGTGCAGTGATCATATAGACAGTAAGTGGCAGTCAGAATTTGAACAATGTCTGATTTCAAGTTCAGCCTTCTTTTTCATTATACCAAACTTGCACATGAAGTGATGACCTTTCTTTTCCACATATTATTACAGTTGTCTTATTAATGATGCTTTCAGACAATAAACAAGATTAATGAAATTGTGCTGACAGCAGCATAGTCAGAAGCTCTATTCAGGAAACAAGTGATGATTTTTCTTACTAAAGAAGCAGCAAGATTATTTGGCAACAACTTGTTTGTTGAAGCAGTTCCATTTGGGAGCTTGTTACTCAGGCCAAGACAGGTGAATCCCCTCTTTGTGTTAAGAAGCGGGGAAGGAAGGGAGAAAAAAAAAGAGGAAGAGAGACAAGGAGGAAGGGGGAGGGGGAGAAGGGAGATCTCAAGGCTATTTGTCCTGATTCCTTTTTCCTCCATACTACAGTCTATTCATTTAGAGTAAATACACAAATAAAAGCAGCATATCTCTATCTGCCAAAAAATATTTTGAAGGGAGGACAGTGAGGTCAAAGCAAAGGTTATGACCTGGAAGTATATAGAAGGATGGAGAAACCAGAGGTTGTACTGAGGAGAAATAAATAGGTTTAGGAGGAATAAGGCAGATAGAAATGTGAAAGGACAGAATGTGACAGAGAGGAATTTCATAGGTCAAATTCATACCAGTGCCAAAATTATGAATGATAATGGGATTTGGGACCACTGAGTAGATTATTGATAGGAACAGAGATGAGCTGGTAGGACAAAAGGATTTCAATGTGTATACTGAAGTCTCCAAATACGAGTACAAGCAATGCGGTATATGGGAACACTGTGAGACAGGTACTGAATGACTTGAAAAAGGAGAGTGAACTGGAGGCCAGTAAATTATAGAGAGAATGCATATGTGCCATGAATTATATAGACAGAAGATAATATATAATATTAATAGTAACATCTGTATTTATGTAGCACCTTAAGACTTTGCAAAAAGCTTTACACATTTTTTATTTTATGTATTAATATATTTTTTGATTAAATTTAATTTGCAGTTCTGAATTCTCTCCCTCTTCCCTCCCCTCCTCCACCCATTGAGAAAGAAAAAAAATCCATTACAAATATTTAAAGTCATGCAAGATGAATTCTGAATTCTGGCATTTGTGAGAGTGAGGGAGAGAATGAGAGAGAAAGAGGGTGGAAAGAAAGGAAGAATATTCTCCAGTGTGTTCTCTGAGTCCAATAACTCTATATGGAGTTGGATAGAATGTTTCATCATACCACATTTGGAATTGGCATTGGCCATTGTGTTGATCTATTGTACAAATTGTTCTCACTTTGCATCTATTTTCATTTCACTTGCATTTCTATATTAGTGATCTAGAACATTTTTCATATAGCTGATAGCTTGGATTTCTTCCTTTGAAAACTGCCTTTTCATACCTTTGATCATTTATCAATGAGGAATGGCTCTTATTCTTGTAAATATGACTCAGTCCCTATATGTTTTAGAAAAGAGACTTTTATCATGGAAATTTGCCACAAATATTTCCCCCCCTTGTTTTTTCTAGTTGCATTAGTTTTGTTTATGCAAAATTAAAAATTAATTTTATGTAATCACAGTAATCCATTTTATTACCTCCTATGAATTTCACCATCTTGTTTGATCATTAATTAACTCTTCACCTATCCATATACCTGACAGGTAATTTCTTCCATGCTCCACTAATTTGCTTATGGTGTCACTTTTTTATATCTAAATCATATACTCATTTTGGACTTATCTTTGAATATGGTATAAGATGTTAGTCTATACCTACTTTCTGCCAGACTACTTTCCAGCTTTCCCAAAAATTTTTGTTAAATAGTGAATTCTTGCCCCAATATCTGGTATCTTTGAGTTTATCAAACACTATGTTACTGTGGTTATTTGCTTTGGGTGACTAATCTGTTCCACTGATCAACTTTTCTATTTCTTACTCAATACCGAATTGTTTTGACAATTATAGTTTTATAGTGTAGTTTGAGATCTGGTACTGCTATAACCCCTGGCATCCTCTTTTTTGGCATTATCTTATAATGTCCACAGTTATCTTAAATGGAATCTCTCTTTCTGTCTCTTTCTGCTGGACTTTCTTGGTAATATATAGAAATGCTGTGATTTATAGTTTATTTTATATATATCATAACTTTGGTGAAGTAGATAAGTATTTCTACTAGTTTTTTAGTTGATTCTCTAGGATTCTGAAAGTATACCATCATATTATCTACAAAGAGTGATAATTTTATTTCCTCATTGCCTACACTAATACCCCACAAGTATATTCTAATATTAAAGAATTTCATTTTCAAAAGTAGATGGTTGTTTTCAAATATGAGTCATGCAGCCTCTTCAACACTTCACTTGCCTTAATGGAATTTACATTCCACTATCCACTGATGTTGGCCTGATTCCCTTCAAGATTTAAGAGCCACCTTCTACCTAATAATAGCTAACATTTATATAATGCTTTCAGATTTACAATGTTGTTTACATATATAAGAAGCCTTTCCCAACACCTCCCTAACTGTAAGTGACTCCCCACAAAAAAGTGACCTTTTCTATTGTACATACAGTTATCCCTTCCACATTGCAAGGGTGAGAGGTGCAGCATACCCACAATCTGAAAAATCCACATAAAATTTTCCTTTCCCTTCATACCAGAGAAGAAGTTTGAATTACTGTGGTATTAAAAGATAAAATATGTTGATATTATACAATACTATACATAGATTTTATGCATTTCTGGAGTTTCTAAACGTTTTCTGTGTTGTCTGCTGGCCTTCACAATGTCATCTGTGGCTTCCACAAAACTCCCAAAAAATTCCCATATAATTTCTTGTGCTGACCCATGATATGGCAAAACTGTGGTGGGGAAAAGTCAGTGTGGAAGGGATAACTGCATGTGCATGTTGTCTTTCCTGTTAGAACATAAGCTTCTTGAGGATGGGAACTACTTTGCTTTTGTCTCAGTGTTGATCATGGGATCTGGCACATAGTAAGTATTTAATAAATGATGATTGATTCATTTATGTTTTGGAAACTGACATTGTGTGCTAGGAATTAAATGATGGAAAAATGGACTCCTGTTGTATCAAATGAAACTTAAAACAAAGGGCTCAGTATGAGGAACAAACCCAGTTTTAAAAAATTAAACCTTACTCTCATTAGAAATAATCAGATAAACCTTTATGATGAGGAACAGTTCCTCAAGACCGCCTCGGAACATTTTAAATCATTACTGTTCTTATTAAAATCAAACTTTACTATGTGAAATAAAACATCTCTCTTTAAAAGAGGAAACACTGAAAATTGAGTAAGCCATGTCCCTAATACTATTATGTTAGTTCATTTATATTTGTTTTTGAGATAGCTTTGCAGGCATATGCTAACCCCACAAAGGGACAACTCCTTAGTCCTTTCAACAAACTCCATTGGCAAATAATGATCAACATTATCCCATTAGGAAAAAAAACCAGTTCATGGCTGAGAGTTGTCATATTAATAGAGGGTTCTTACCTTAGATCTGGGTCTTGTGAATAAATTATTTCCATTAAAAGAATAATAATTGCTTAACATGACATCACTTTAGGGTTTGCAAAGCATTTTGCAAATGCTCTCCTTTAATCCTCACCAGTGACCCGTGAGGTAGGTGCTGCAGGTATCATTAGCCCTATTTTTATAGATAAGGCAACTAAAGCTAAGAGAGATTAAGTGAGAATGAGTGGTAGGACGTGAACTGAGGTTATATTGATTCTACGTCCAATGCTCTGTTTACTGTCATTCTGATCATTAGCCACTAATATCTATTAAGGAACAAGGGAAAGTCTAATTGAACAATATCCTTAATGAATGGGATAAGAGTGAGGAGATGTGTAAGAATATGTGCTATTGATATTAGATGTATAAGAATATGTGCTATTGATATTTTTTCTATAATTTTCAGTTTAGGACCTGTCTCAAATCTAACCAATTGTACCAGTACAAAAACATATCATCCATTTTGTAACAGGATCACAGACTAAGATCTAGAAAGGGACTTTATCAATCTCATGGAATCTGAAGCCCTCATTTTACATAAAGATATGAAAACTGAAGTTCAGGGGAAAATAGTGACTTGTCCAAGGTGACACCGATACTGAATGGGAGATGCAGTATAACTCCAAATTTGTCACTCTAATAACGCCAGTATGTAACACAAAATAAGTTCCAAATAATCAGATATGCCATGATGTGTACAAGTGAATATGTTTTATTAAATGCATACTAACATTTTCTATATTATGTGAATATACATAATAAATTAAAACGTATATATATTAAATATAGACATGATATCAGAATGTAATTTTTTAAGGTGGGAAATTAAGACCAACCCATTTTTTTAAAGTCTCTTTTGGTCACTCCAAATTATTATTACCCATAAAAATAATGTAGTACTGATTTTTCCCTGGGGAAAAAAATTAATTCCATAGCATTGTAGTTAAGGGACATGTTTTATTTCATAGTTTTCTGCAAGCAAAGTTGCTTTGATACAAAATGAGTTCAATGATACAGTGCTACCATCCAGTCAAGCAAAAGAAAACCTCACATTGAAATGAATGCACTTTGTATTGATATTCTTATAGGATAATAGTTCTAATATCCAGAAAGTCTCTGGCCTCATTTAAAGCAATGGCACAGAAATGCTGCAAGGTATTGGAGTTTTATAGAACTGGGAAGTGCTTGAAGTTACTTCCAGAGAAGTGAGTTCTCTGACAGATTCTGTTTTTAATAACAGTAATGTGAATGTGTTTATTTCTTTGTGTTTTTGGTTTTTTGGTATGTGTACATGTATATGCATGATTGGTTTTTTTCTTTTTGTCACCCATCTTTTGCAGTTCATTTTAATAATCTTAAAATAGATCATTTTGTGTCTTTTGGCTTTTGATGGCTGTTTATGTTAGGAAAAAAAAAGATATGTCATGAGGTATCCCTAGCTGTTAGTTAATGATGCAGTGATGCGGCCCTTCTCAGTCAGGTCATAGACTTACCTGTACATACAGGAATTGAGTTTCACGTGTAAGTTCTACACATTGCTGTGTACAAATGTTAGTCTTTGTTAAAAACTCTTTCTCTTCACATGTGATGTGGTATAATCCCCAAAATAGCCAACAAAAAAAAAATATACAGGTAAAAGAGCAAGATAAATACACAAAATAAGGCCATCTGCAGAATTTAAAACTCACCTCTTGCAATATTTCACAATAATCTCTACATCATATTTTACATCTTACAAACTTAAATAGTAAATGCACAAGGAAGGCCCGTAGCAGAACCAATCGCACTATCTTTTTGTGGACTTGTCCAGTTTACTGGCAGGTGATTTCCTCTGGGGTGTGGGGATTCTGGAAGGCTTGGCTGGGGTTGATCGAGAACCTGCTCGGGGGGTTGGTCTGGTGGTCTGAGGCACAGTCTCCATATCTGAGCACACAGACTGGATTTCTGAAATATCAAAGTCAGAGGCATCGCTACCTCGGCGACTGCTTGACCTGCTCCCAGCTTTGCTCCCAGCTCGGCTTCCAGGTCTGCTAGGAGTTCTCTTGGTATCTGAGAGCAAAGAGAAGAAACATTAGTCTTGTCATATTTTGTCAGCTTCCTACAGGGAGGTCTGACATATCTGATTTCAAACACAGGTAGTCCCTTCTACAGCAGATGCCCAGTAGCCACTGGATTAATTCTATTCCATCTAACAAATATTATGCACTTACTAAAGTGCAAGACACTGAGATTACACAGATGAAAAAGAAAAAGGCCCTGTCCTCATGGATTTTACATTCTACTAGGAGGTAATAATTGACAACAACAATAATTCACTCAAATATTTGGGACCCTCTTTACTCAAAGCAATGAGAGTGTAGGTCTACCAAATGCCATCATCAGCTATCTTGGGGTGACAGAATTTGAAATATATTTGGAGTTCAAAGCAGTATGCCCAGTACATACATTCAAGTCCAGGGCTTCCTTTTTTCCCACCCTCCTCTTCATAGTTCTATTATTTATAAATGTATTTGACAGTAAACAGACATAATTAATGAGAACCTGGTTCTACACAAAAGATAACTTAATTATGACTCTTTGTTGTCATGGTCATTAACAGATTCAATGAGAAAGCTATCCTAGTCTATTTTAAAAGTATGATTCAGATGACCAGCATCTAATCTAGATACCACTTTAAAAAAGCAGGGTAATTCACTAGCTGCTCCCAAAAGAGCTCAATACAAATCTGAAGCAGACATCAGAATTGCCATTCCTCACACTAGGAGAAACCTGTCATTGAGCTGTCACCTCCCTAGGTACGCTGGGTCAGAACTGACCTAGTCATTTGCCTTTGTCACATTTGCCTTTCTACCCTTTTAGCAACATTGGTCCTATGAACATAATGAAGGTACAAAATGAGTCCCAATGCAGCCTCAATAAAAATGCCACTTAACAAATATTTTTGGCAAATGGCCAAATACCCAGAGGAAACAACTTGCTATGTACTTCCAAAAATTTTTGTAACGATTTTACTGTGTTCATTATTACACTGCTTAAAAAAAAGTTTCTAAGACCTTTTGTCATCCTAAATATTGACATAACTTAAAAATCCTATTTATACACAGCACAGAATTCTTTTATATATATACGGACACACATTGAGTTAACAACAAAAAAATATGGAGTTGAGAGTTTTACTTTGTTTTTTAAACTATGATTTCAAGAGTGTAGGGATGCCATGGTGTTTTGGATTCTTGGCTAAGGAAATGAGAGGGTAAGTGTTTTGTTTATCATTACAAAACCCCTATATGTTGGAAGCAGGACCTGAATCCTGATCTTCCTGACTCCAAGGCCAGTCTATTTTTTCACTCCATCACTGTCCCTCAAGAGTTAGATAACTCTTCAGTCTTGTCAGTATTTGCATATGCAAATTCAAGAGCATAATGCATTCTTTTAAATGTCAGCATAATTTAAAAGTTGATCAATGAGGCTCGAAACAAGTCATTTAAAATCTATAAAAGTGAGGTTAAATGGGTCTTATCAGTGACAACCAGGTGATAGTCCCAATTTAATAATGTATCACATCACAGTGAAAAAGTAAACTGTTTCCTCAGCAGAGGGAAAAAGATGCCTTAATGCCTGTGTAGAAATTGGTTTGCCTTGCTACTGTGCCATAGCAAGATATCTCTTCCTTATACATTGATTTAATGGGACTTTGCTCTTCCAAAAAATTGCTCTCACTTTCACAAGGGCCACTGGCTCTCAATGACTCAAAAGCACTCACCTGCAAACTGTGTGCGGACTCGGGCAGCTGCAGTTGTTATCAATCCACTGTCCTCCCCTGACTGGAACCCTTTCCCTGATAAATATCCTGGAAGTCGAAGCTTACTTCCCTGGATCGGTGTTCCCTGTAGTGACCAACAGAAAGCATTTCATGGTACCAGTCCTAGCCTGTGCTAATCCAACCAAAACCTTTCATTTCACAGTTCTCTTTCCCATATAGTTTCCACAGATTTCACAGGAGAAGGCAAGAAAAATAAGCAGCCAATTTCATCTAAACCAAGTGCTGGATTTTCACACCTCTTCCCTCAATTCAGTGAGAAACCTCTGAACAAAATGTGATTTTGGTGAAGGAAAAAAACCAGAACATTAAGAAAGTAAAGCCTGACCATAATGAGCAAGGCAGCTGTGACAAGAAGTCCAAGCAAATCTGTGAGTACAGCAGTGGAAGCTGCATATCCCATTAAATGTCATAAAATATGAATATGTGCATTTACTGCAGAATTTTAAAGAGACTGGGCAACCAGTCTCTTGCAGTTTGTTTGGAAATCCATGAAATGATGTTGCTGTACTTGGGTATGTGGACAGAGTATTTCTGGAGCAATGGCCTGATCACACTGAGATTTTCACACTTGATACTTAAAAGTTTAATTCAGAATTTAATATAACTATGGTCTCCACACGTATGGTAAATACCTGGGCAAAAGTGAGTGAGGCTTCTTTTAAGGTTCACACTGGAGTTTGCAGAAAGCCCAAATGAAAAAATCTTGCAAGCACAACTCCTGTATTTTAGTAAAAAGTTAAAAAAAAAACCAACTAAACCTTTTAAGCCCATTTTTTCCCTTGGATATTGGACATGTTTTCAGTGTCTCGTCCCAGAATCACATTCCCCAACCATATAGTTAAGACAAACAAACAAGCTTCTTAGAAGTGTAAGAGTTTATTTACATGCAGTGAATTATTCAAAGGGAGTTAATCTCTACAAATAGTTATGGGTACTGGTTATATTTCTCTCTATCAAATACATTTACAAAGTTCTGCATAGCATAGAAAAGATTCTTGGCTTCCAGGGTTGTCTGGATTTTCTTTTCTAGTGAGGAAATGTGGTGGGTTTTTTTTTTTTGATTAGGCAATGGGGTTAAGTGACTTGCCCAGGGTCACACAGTTAGTGTTATGTGTCTGAGGTCACATTTGAACTCAAGTCCTCCTGAATCCAGGGCTGGTGCTCTATCCACTGCACCACTTAGCTGCCCCAGTGATATTTTTATTAGCTTAATGAACTTTTCTGGTATTTTCAAAAATTAGAATGGTAATTAGATGATGTCAAATCAATTAAAATGAAAAGCACCATGACACAATATGGCATAAAATGAAACTACTTAAGAATGTAATTACATAAATGTAACCATTTAAGAAATTTTGAGAAATTCCTTAATTTATGCTACAATAGGATCTTAAGATCACAGACTTAGTGATGCAAGGGAACTTAAAAGACCAAGTACACTCCTCATTTTAAATGTGAGGAAACTGAGGCCTACAGAGATTAAGTAATTTCTTAAAGTTACATAAATAATAAGTAGCAGAGAACTGGTTCAAAAACAGGCTCTCTGACTCCAAATCCAGATTTTTCTTCCACTAAACCATTCTGCCTCTCTATAATAAAAGTTTTCTGGTAATAAAAGCATTTTCCCCAAATGTACCATATAGTTCTAAGTGAATTTTACTCAGTATAGCACCATAGATTTCAGGCTTAAAGGGACCTTAGAGATCTAATTCAAACACTTCATTTTATAAAGAAACTAAGGGATCAGAGAGAGACTAAACGACTTATCAAAATTCTCATCAGTAATAAGCAGCAGAACTAGAATTTGGACCCAGGTCAAAACCCCAAATCTAGTATTCTCTCCACCACACCATGCTGCCTCTCTAGTAGCAAAATATTTCACTAAAATCCCATACCTCATTATGACACAAAAGTGACCATTCTCCAAGGCTACACCAATGAGGTGCAAGTTCTGGCATGCCCTAATCAGCTGGAAAAGGTTTTGAGTGTGGCTTGCTGTTGTCTAAGGACTGCCCTACTTAAGTTCTGAGGGGCTCATCAGTGGAATGCTAGCCACTAAATAATGATTATTCTTGTGGGGGAGGATTATACCAACTTATGGTGCAATGCGATTTGTGTAAGTGAAGGGAGCACCCACATGAATGAATATTTTAAAGTATTAAGAATAATGGTACGTATTACACATAGACACACTTAAAGTTTATGGTGGTTAAGCTATGTGACTTTAGACAATTCACTTAAACTTGATGTTTGTAGATCCTTTCATCTATCAAATTACCCATTTCACAAGGTTGTTGAGACAGTGAAAGAAATCAAATGCTGAAAATCTATAAAACACTGTACAAATTTGACATGCAATTTTCTCTCTCTTGGATTTTATTTCTTCAACAGTAACATGAGGCAGTCTGACTAGGAAGTCTCTAAATTCCTTCTAACTCTAAAATAGGGGATAATAATCCCATGATTGTGCTGATCAGAACACATCTGGAGTACTGTTTTCAGTTTCTGGCACTGTATTTTAGGAAGGATGATAAGGATGATGTACATAAGTGGTCATGCAACATTAGGGTCATTTGAAGGAACTGGGGCCATTTCACTGGCTACAGTGAAAGGTAATATTTGATTGAGGGTAGAGAGAACCAAATTCATCCTTAAATACCTTAAAGGCTGTTATGTGGAGAAAAATATCAGAATCATTCAATTTAGCCTCAGAAAGCAGATCTGTGGAAGTTGCCAAGAGGCAAACTAAGGAAAAATTTTCTCACAATAGAGGAACAATTTGTCTCAACATGTAAAGAGCTTCTTCTCACTGAAGATCTTGAAGCAAAGACTGAATCGCCATTTATTAAGTACGCTGCAGTACAGTTACTTTTTTTGGATATGGCTGCTAAGACCTCTCCTAACTTTGAAAGAAGCAATTTTTGAAATGCAATGATTCTGTATAAAAAAGTAAGGGAATAATTATATGAGTGGTCCTTTTCATGAACTGCCAAAAATAAAGGTTATGAGAATTTTCCAAACAGTATGTTTACTTAGTCATGTGATTAGCTGCTGCCCAAGTTTGTAATAAGAGAGTAAGCTTAGTAGATAGATGGTAGATGGCTGGCTTTGGAGTCAGTAAGACCTGGATTCAACACCTGCCTCTGAAAAATTCAGTCTGTGTGAAAATGGGCAAGTCAGTTAACCTTTCTTTGCTCTAGGAAACTTTTTGAGACCAAGTAACAAATGATCTACTGATTGAAATGATGGAGAGAATTTCCATCCTGGGAGCTCTCCCAATCTAATAAAATTCCAAGTATGGACCTTTCTTTTCCCCACAAGAAAAGTATGCATTATTTTAAGAAATGTTAGTTTATTCATGCTTTAGTCTTATAAAAATTCATATGCAGTCAACTCCCTATTATCTGAATGAAAGCTATAGACTGCGTAGGTTTTGTTGACAAATTTTTATAAGAAGGACGGCTCCTCAGTAGCTAAATCACGTAAATGAAAAACCTGTCAATGTCAGATGACTTTTTTTCCCTCTTCCCATGAGACACTATTCCCCTTACATGCTGTGAATAATGGAGAGTTGACTTTGCAATAATTTCACACCTACTCCATTCACTCTATAAGCCATAGATGTCTTTGAAGACTTGTAATACAACTTTCCCCTTGTGTAATTGCAGTGATTTGGAGTAATGGTCAAGGTGCAGAAATGATCTACTAGATAGAGAACCTGCCTTTTTACTTCTCCCCAATTTCTCTTTGAGAGAAAAGTGCTATTACATAGCATTTGTCCTCTAAGTTATTCTGGCTGGCAACTTTTCTAGCTCATCAGAAATTGGATAGAAAAACATAGTTGTAAAACTTCAGGTGAGAAGATTTTCATGCCAAAAACTACACATCTCTGTGTATAAATTTTATTTTCAGTTAATTCACATGCTGCATGTTTCTTAAGAAGGTATAAAAATTTGTAAATGGATTTTGAATCACTTTTAGCCTTCAAGGGAAATACACATTCACAACTGCCAAGGTCATTCAGTGTAAGAGTGCCCTGGGTCATAGATGCCATGAGAAGCAAGAAATGCTGATTCTAATTCTTCTCACTGGTAGCCCTTCCTACAATATTATGTTTGTAAGCACAGAGAAACAGAGCAATAATTTCAAAGGTGATTAATTTCTTGAAAATGGTTTGGAGAAGAAGCTTTAGGCATAAAACTATAACACTAAACATTTTGATACAAGGAAAGAAGAACTGAAGATAGGAAAAAGGCAGAGGAAAGAAGATATTCATTCTTTAGAAGTTTAAAATGAAGGGAGTTGTGATTCCATACATACAAACCAAAAAGAGAGAGTACATATTAGTTAGTGGCCTGTTAGTTTTAAAGAAGTTGATCAGTCTAGAGTCTAGGTCCTTACTATACCTCTGCAGATGACACTTGAAAGTCTGAGGATTCTGCTGGTTTAGAAGGAGTTGACGTTTTGCTGTTTGTCAACCATGGTTTACCATAATTGCGTATTAAAGGCTGGACTATCTGTATGAAACAATGGCAAATCAAACATAAAGGACAGCAGGAGAAAAAAGCAAAACTATAAAAAAGATCACTAAAGCAAAGAGATCACATTTTGCAGTAGGAGTGGACATAATAATTAAAATAAGCAATAAGCAGAAAAGTCAGATGGCAAATCATACACAAAAATGAGCTTTTTAAAAAGGAATCCAAGTAACTGTAAATATAGCACCTAAGTAAATAGCTTTCTTTGTAACTCTAAAGGCACCATAAGAATAACATTTTTGTGCACCATTTCACACGAGAAACTGAACACTGACCAATCTAGTTTGACTCTGAGAAGATCAACTTAGCATTTGAGGTCATGATGAATCTAGTTATTCCAACAGAGAGAAAACATTTCCTGAACTGACTCCTACCTTTGGAGTGCTCATCATGGGGGCCTGAGGTGAGGCCATTTGACCAGCAGGGCTGGACATTGAAGTTGATCTATTAGGGGAAGCTCCTCTGGATGATGGTCGTGATCTCCGCCCCCTGGGTCGGAAAGCTGCCATAGCTGTCTGACTGGCACCATCCGCTAAAATGAACTTTTCACGGAGTTCCATGTTTGTTCTTCCTTTAGCTGAAGTACACATGTGAAGGGGAAAAAAAGGCATTTAACTGAAGAGAAGAAATTCAATGAGCCCATTGGTCAAAATATTTCAAGAAAATTCTTTTTCGCCATGCTAGCTCCAACCCAGCTCAACAAAAAGTCAAATGCATCACTCTATAATGCATTCCTTTTGGACACAGGCACGTACAAAAGGAGAGCGTGCTTACTCTAACACTTCACACCAGCAAGAACAACTCACTATTTAAAAGAGTCAGCATGAAAATGGAAAGCCCACATGCTAAAATATCCTTAATCCATCAGTTACTGATGCGCAGGTTTCATTACCTGTTTCACCACACTTGGATGGCTAGCCCATTAGTCAGGGACTGTGTCTTGCATGTACCCATATAGGGTAAAGAAACTGCCAGTAGTTTTAAAAATATTTCATTTATCCCATAATATTTACAAAAGAATGAGAGGTGGCTTGTTAATTGAAACTGCCACATAAAATTAAGTTACAGGTTTTTCTGCATTCAGATAAAATAGCAATATTTTCATTTGGCACCTTGACAAAGTAAGCTTTACCAACATGCAATAACAAATACCAGATCCAAACTTCAATGAAATACTCAGTGGTGCACCATTTATACAAACACATACGCACACAGAAAACATTCCACAAGAACTGGATGAGCAACGTGTTAGCACTGTATTTCATCAGTGTAGATGATCATTGTACTTGTAACACACCTTCAGCGTGTCAAATTTTTGGATACTCAACTTAAAAGCACCAGCCCAGTTGGACGTGTGTTAAGCCATACACAATGAATGAAGCATGTTATTAAAAAAATAATAATAATCAAAGCAAGAATGTGAAAGAAGGAAAGAGAAAAAGAAAGAGGAGAGAGGTGAAGGGAGAGGTTGCCAACCTATAGTAGGCTGAGTAGTAGTAATTGAAGAGTTTGATTCCGAACGCAACATTTTACTCCCATGATGATGAACTAGAAAAAATGACATAGGATACCAATCACATTAAAGAATCTCGTTAGCAGGAGAAGAAAACAAGTATAGCAGTTGCATATGCAAAGGACTTCTACTTCTGGGCTGTTGGGACACATTCTAGAATAAGAGTTCCTTTAGTAATGAGGGGAGGAAAAAAAAACTTTTCCTTTGAGGGAAAAAGAATTACCTGTGATTACTCTATGACTGGCTTTCTAACAACCAACACCACAAAAGGCAATATATGTTAACAGTTGGTTTTTATAACAGGGGCCACATTAATCTGAATTACTTAAAGAAAAGAGAAAGGGTGAATGAGAGTAAAAAGGAGGGAGTGACTATTTTGTTCACAATTGTCTGAACCTCACTTTACTCTATGTGCTAAGCACAAATTTTTCCTGCAGTGAGTTACTATCTGTTTTAATTGAATTTACTCTGCAAAGGGTTTTACTCAGGTGAAACTACAATAACAAGCATGTTCTGTTTTAACTATTTCCAACTGGTGAAGATTAGGTACTGCTGGCAGCAGGTTTTAAAGTTGGGATAAAAATGATCTATCAGATTAAAATATCAAGAGAGAGAAAACAATACTGTTAACTATTTTATTATGGATTATTTTTTGTTTTTTGGTAAAAAGCCCTTTGCCTTTTCACTAGTTAGCTTTTGTGTTCCTACTGAAAATTTCTGAAAGGGGGGAGGGACATGTCTCTTTAAAAAGACCTATTCTAGTACTTTGCTGCCTTCCTATTGTGTGATTAGCCATAAGAGGTCAAAACAATGGAAAAAGTATGGTTTACATGACTGCCACAAGTTCTTCTGAGAACTTTAGGCTGACAAAGAAAGACCAATGTGAAACATTCACTGTTGGAATAAATAAACAACTGAAGCTATACCCACAAAATACTTCATATAATTTTATAAGTAATAATTTCTTGTATGTTTTCATTATACGTTACATGAGGATTGCCTTACCCCTACAAGGATCATTTTTCACTAAGAACTCATCAAGTGCCATCCATCCACCTCCAACACGAACCATCACAGTACTTCGTAAGATTCGAACAAGACGAAGTTGTTGGGAATCACCAAACTGTTCAAGTTAAAAAAAAAGCAAGCTACGGTTTTTAATTGTTCCTCTCATGTAAAATACGCTATATTTAGGCTCCAACAGCTTAAGCAACCAATTTCTTCTTTTAATTCACAATTATTAGTAAAATCTCAGAAAATGATTTGCATAATAAATGATCTGCATTAGACTCTGCTGCATGCTGATTTAGATGACAGGAAAAGCATAGCAAAAGGGGAAAAAAAGGCTACTATGACTCATTTTGCTTCTTGAAGATTATTTCTTTCTCATTATAGGAAGCCATTAGTAAGAAAATTATTTTTTTAATTACATTTTAGTCATCATTTGTAGAGGTTGAAGCAGCCATGAAAATAAGCTCTGGCCCATGTTCTCTGAGTTCAAAAGAAATAAGAATTGTCTTCAAAGAAATATGACTGAAGAAAAACATTAATATCTTTTGACTTTTCTTTCCAGTATAATTAAACTTAGTTTTGTCTAGAAATACAGGAGGAAGTCTGTTTATATTTTTTCATTCTTTTTCATCTAATGAGCAGCTGATAGGACAATGACATCTTCTAGCCAAAGCTAGAAGACAGCATGGATGGTAAATATGGGTAGGGGAGGAAGGAGTGATTGTAATTTTTAAGGTAATATACAATGCCTACTACTAGGAATATCTTTTAAACTAATTTTCAAAACTAGTTTAACACATAATCAATTGGGATTTACTCTGACATAATATTTATGATAGGTAGCATTGTATATTGCTTTAAGGTTTCCAAAGTACTTTAGATGTATTTATTACCTTATTTGATCTCACATCAACCCTTGCAAGGTAGGTGCTATTATTATCCTCATTTTTTAAATGAGGAAACTGAGGCATTGAGCAGTTAAGTGACTTGGCTAGGTCACACAGCTAGTGAGTATCTACAGCAAAATTTGAACTCAGGTCTTGACTCTCAGTTTTATAGTCTATTCACAACACCACCTAAATGCCCTATAAATTGACAACTTTCATATGCCCTTCCAACATTTATTTACTAGGCCATGTTACAAATTCTCTCAAGTTCTAAGAATCAAGTTTCTAGTGAGTAATGTTCACTCACTACCCATTAGTAATGGTTTCATGACTTTAAGCCTGTTTCTAAAAGATTTATGTGTGATGTGTGAAAACTCCCATGCCAATCTATATAAGTGCCTTTCCAGCCAAGCTCAATACAGACTGAAGAATTAAAGAAACTGAACTAGTTTCAATCAATCAAACGAAATACGTTTGAGATGTTTAAGTATGGAGACAGTTCATGACAGATAAATTAGGAAACATTGTTTTCAATAGAAAAGAACCCCTACAACTTTACATGTTTTAAGCAAAATTCAAACAGATCTCATTTCAGATTCTGAAATTTCTGAAGGGCATCACAAGTACACACAAAGCTCCAGTTCAGGGTCCAGTGCCTTTAACCTTCTAATAGTTTCAATTTGTTGCTGCTGAAACCAATTTTTTTTTAACCTTGGGAACTTAACAATACTTCTAAAGTATGTGATCTTGAAATGTAAATTCACATTTGAAAGCAAGAACACACATTTCTTTTTGTTAGAAGACCTTCAGTGCTGATAAGCAAAGGGTAAGGAGGGGAGTAAAGGAATATTACCTTGGGGAACCAGACAACATCAAGATTTTTTAGTCCATGAGTTATAATCAAATCAGCATTTTGGGATAAGTATAAAATACAAATAATTTATTACTTGTATTTATTAAATTTATAAAATTTATTCAAACATTACTAAAGAATTGGGTTCTTATTTTGTTTAGAATCCCCCTTTGTTTCCTCTATTTCCTATTCAAAAGTATTACAATTACTCTACGGTAAGCCAAGAACAAAGAGACAGGATCTCCTGCAGAATCTGCTGCTTTTGCTCATTACTGTTCTGTCAATACGGTTGGTGCTGAACCTTATGACATGAGTGTCTTTCTCTTACGTGATGAAATATTTTGCTTCAGTAATACCCTCCTTTACTGACCCATGTAATATGAGACAGAGACGGTATGTAATATTAATTAAGGGTTAAACAAATCTATTAAAAGTTTATCAGAAATTTTTAAATAAGTTATTTTACCTGCAATAAGAGGGAAGTATAAGTAATTTAATAATTATAATGGTTAAGCATTATTAAATATGAGTGTCTAAAGACTATCTCATGTGCTATTTATAAAGAGACATCTTTCTAGTCACAGTATATCATGTTTTCCACAATGCACAGTGAAAAACTACTACTCATTAGTTCTAGAATCACTTGATTTGTTATTCTAAGTCTCTTGATTCTTTTTAACATATGAACTAAAACAAATATAAAGTTAGGAAACATGTCTTTAGCATAGAGACATCTAATTGTCCATATGAATTCCGAGGAAACTAATCTGATGGCTCCAGTATATATGGTATTACTCCAAACCTGTAGTGTGTCAGTTTAGGGGGGATATACAGCCATTGGATAAAAACAAATGAGCACACTGGCTTAGGCAGAAAATAGTAGTAGTATACATAAAATTGTGCATGTTTTATTTCTCTGCAAGTATATTTGCATGACTAACTGGCCTGATGTTGATCCTTTCCTAATTCCTAGATGCCATATTTTAAGGTTTCAGAAACTAATGGAATACTATACAATTTACATTAGCAAATGCCTATCCCCATAAGATATGCTAATGATAATAATAATGAAGAAGCTACAGGTTATGTTTGGGAGACCAAAAACATGTGCCAAATTGCTGTCCATTATCTGGTTCCTTAAAAGTAATCTCCTCGATGAGACAAAAGGCAGAAAAAGGGATCCCAGATCAGGGATCCTTTGAGTAGTTACAAAAACACCACAGCTAATCAACAGCATGGGGAAAGATGAGCCATGGCAAGCTTTAATGACTATGGATTAAAAAAAATATATAAAACACCATTGGGAACTCAAGAATACATTTCATTGGTTTATACCTGATTTCCCAGGAAGAACTGATAAGAAATGAAAAATGGAAGAAAGACAAAATTAGTTTAATAGGAAACTTACTACATGACTCCAAAAGAACATAAACATACTCTGTGACACTCTACGCTTCTAAATATAGTACCTAGCTTAGAGATAGGCGGATATCCAATTGTCCAAATATTAAATTCAAAATTAATTTTGAATTCTTCTCCATCAGTAGTTCTTTAAATTTTAATATAAATATGTTCACAGTTTTACATGTGAAAATTATTGTGTTCTATCTGGGGGAAACCCAGCATATTTCTTTTCTAGCTACTAAATGAATACATACTGTGATTTTTTTAAATGGGGAGAGAAAGAAAATGGATGATGATGACAGTATTCCTTAATGACATTATACTGAAGAAGATATCTCTAACTTCTCTGATTCTGAATGAATACAAAATAATTCTCAACCACCGAGAAAAATTCCATTTCATCCATATATATTGTAATTATTTCCATACTGTACACAATAATGCCTTTTATACAGCACTTTCAAAAACATCCTATGAAGTAGTTAGGGTCACTGTGATTACCCCATTTCAGGGAGGAGGAAACTGAGGCTCAGATCACTTCATCAGTGATTTCCCCAAGGTCATAAAGCTAGCAAGTAGAAGAGCTAGAATTCCAACCCAGGCTTTATGTCCTTTTCACTACACCATACTGACTCTAAGTTGGACAATTCAAGAATAATTTTATGGCTCTGACTTTGGTTAACTCTAACATACTTGAATTCTGAAAAATGAAGTTGGAAAACAAGAAAATGATATCGGATTAAGGCATTATTGTGCAATATAAATCCTCTACTAAAGTTATATTCCAATGCATCATCATCATGTGCAGGTGATCTATTTTTAATGGTTACATCAGAGGTGAGCAAGTGTTGTGGCAGCTCCTAACAAACTGCAAAGCTCTGATATAGGTCTGGCAACAGGCCAAATTTGCCTTTTCAGGACAAGCCTTGTAACCAGCAGATTGCCTCCAGATGACAAGAATTCTGGACACAGCAAATAATGAAAATACTTGCTAAATCATCTCACTTCCTCATTGAGGAAGTACATAACCACACCACTGAAATCATAGCTACTTGAAGTACAAAAGAATACCATGAATGAATGAATGATTATATGTACACACATAAATATGTGTATACAGATATATATGGTAATATATAATATATGGATATAAATATAAGCATATATTTATATATTTTTGAATGTATGTATGTATATATGCATACATATATTATATAATATATAATATATATTTCCCCCCCCACCCATGAAGTCATCAGGAACTCTGTGGATATTCTGAAGAAATCTATCTAGAAAATATACAATATATACATAATGTAATGTATATAATATATAATTCATGAACTTCCTAGGTCTGAAACTAGAAAAGATTACCACTATATAATATTGTAATGGTATAAAAATATGGGAAAATATAAATTGTTGATCACACCTGACATCAAAGAACGAAGGTGCTATTTAGGGAAACTTACCCTGTATTTGTTATCTCCAATCTGTTCCACTTGGAATCGTTTTGCACATTTACATTTAGCTACCTGCCTTGTCACCTGCCAAAAACATGATTGAAACATTCATTTCAATGCCAACATTACACTTTGGAGACTGCAACATTTTGGCACAACCACAAAACATGGAAGCAAATAAAATGACAGAATGAGTTGTGCGGGTGATCTTGGCAGGATGCTATACAAGACTGAAAGTGATGGAAATAGAACGGGTACCTCATCTTCAATTTTGTCTGCATCTGTCAGAGGCTTATAAGCATCCTTATTGGGATGAAGTGCTGCAACAAATTCGTAGTAGTCAATGTAGCCATCACCATCTCTGTCAAAGATATCAGCAACTGCACTCATTTCCAGGCGACTGGTTGGGAATTCTATCCACAAAAACACATAGAACAGAAATATGCTTCAAAATGATTTGAAATTTAATTTTGTCACTCTCTATATCACTAGATGACCTGCTGTGGTGGCTAAATTATAAAATCAGGTGACCATCATTTTGCTCCATGAGGACAAGAACTGTTTCATTTTTGTCTTTGTACACCCAGGACACCTAAGACAATAACTGGCACATAGTAAGTGCTTAGTAAATGTTCATTGATTTTTGAAATTCAACCACCATAAATTAATTTATTATAAATATATACCTAGCTTAATTTAAAGTAACTTAACTGATTTCATAATTCAATGTAATAACTTAAATGAATTTTAAACAATATGAATAACAACTATTTTTTAGAATTCCTGAATATCCATGGGTTAGGCATTCACTAACTCAGTTGTTTACAGAAAGTAAAACAACAGAAATATGCTCGAGACAGAGATTATAGGAGCTATATTTTCAGACTTTTCATAATACCTGTTTTAGTAGGTGATCGGAGTAGATTCTAGTTTCTATTTCTGATGTGATCATAAAATATAGGAGATTATATAAGGAAGTGGTCTAATAAATTCAGGTACCATTTATAAAATGTCATTTTTCTTAGGAAGGAACTGACTTTACTAAAAACTATAAAGGCAATAACCTATAACATATGCACATAAAAATATTTCAATTCTAGTGTATTCTGAAGTACTGTTTTGATAACATCCTCACTTACTGGACGAAAGAATGCCATCAATAAATTCTTGTCGTGTTATTTTTCCATCCTGATCTTTATCGATCCGCCTGAAGAAGTCCATTACTCGAGATTTCTTATGATTCATCCACCGCATGTATTTTTTACGCCAGACATCAAAATCAAAGTTGGCAAATTCTTTCAGCTGTAGAGGGGGAAAATAATTTGGTGCTTGTTTTCATATTAAGATGATTAAAGCTTAATTTTATCTGTAGTCTGCTAATGAAGCTGATAGAAAAGTCCTTTAGGACAACACTTGTAATCTAGACACTACAGTTATCACTCATTTCAGAGAAAAAAAATGCTGCTGAATGAGTACTTGTAAAACAAATTTCTATAAAGTTTATTGAACTTTACCTTTTATGAAATTGCCAACCCCTTCTAACAAAATTTTAAAAATCTTCCAAAACATAGTTGAAAACTCTTTGTAATAATCTAGTCAAGTTGGCAGTCATCATGCTGAGCATTATAATCTATCTAGCAAAAGCACTGTGACTGCTAGAAGTAACAGTTTCTATGTAACAAGCAACTTTTCATTTGCTAGTTCTAAGATCTCTTCTCTATTGTCTGACCCTCTCCCATACCTTCTCTGGATCACAGAATATTTTCTCATACATAGAATTCCTGACCCCACACTCCTTGTTCTCAAAATCATCTCTCTCCATTTCTGCTAGGTGTATTGACATATCTAAAAAAATACCCTAGAGTTGCAAGGTATCTCAAATATATACCTTTAAAATACATACTTTAGACTAATAATTACTTAAAACCTGGGCTTTATTACACATAAAGCAAATTAGTTCCAACATTATTGGTTTTTAAATGTTGAATTATATATATTTTCTGCAAAAATAAAGAGGTAACTATTTTTAGGCTTTAATAAAACTTTTGCACATGAACATCTAGAATTTGTTCAACTATGGCACAATAACAACTAAACAATCAGATGTTTAAATATATTATGATGAAATGTGACAATTTTATGAGAAACACAATTAGCTAACCTCCTCCAGTCTGTCCAAGGCATCATTAAGTTTTCTTCTTCTTTCCAAAGCTAGAAGCCAGACTTGCTGCCATTTACTCACTAATAAGTTTACCCTGGGATTCTTTGTTTCAATTTGTGTCTGTGATCCAGAAGGATACAAGCTTGATGTTGGAGAACGCTTCCCTATTAAAAAAAAAAACATAATTCAAATTAGTATGGCACAAATGCCGGAGTTCTCAAATGCGGCTCACCATCATATCAAAATTTGGCCCTTTCCCATCTAACTCAGTACTGAATTGACTCAATAGCTCAGCACTGTCAGTAGAGATGCTCTTATCTATGTGAGAGCTAAAATTGATGGTCTATGATCTTGTACTTACTAAGAAGTCCCTAATGCTTATACCTATGGAGGTATAGATACATGCATTTAAATACTATGGAACTTGCTGATCACACTCTTGATCAAAATAGGAATGCTATCATATAAATGATCAAAATTGACAGCTTCCTCCTCCATGTGGCCAAGCAACTGAATTTCCTTAGTCACCTGCCATTATTGCAAGGGATCTCAAGGAAAAGGCAAAAACCAGAATAGTATTGCACAAACTCTAGCTCAAAAGAAGATGTGTGAATTGAGTGGCCATGCTAATGAAATGAAAGCCTAAGTGACAAAAGATCAGTTAATTTTTTTAATATAAAATGCTTAACAGGTGCATTAAAAAACTTGAAAAAGCCAACTTCGACTTCTAATGTGTTGCCACTTAGCCTTTTTTTCTTAAATGACCCTCTGAGAAAACATGATATTTATTTTCACTTGTTTTGAATGAAGAACTAAATGGTGGAATGTACCTCTATCTACAAGTAACTGTGGGCAAGTTATTTACTCTTTGAGCCTTACTTCCTTCATCTATGAAATATGGGTAATAACATTCAATTTATAAAGCACTCTGCAAGCCTTAAAGAGTGTGTGAGAGAGAGAGAGTGTATTTGGCTACTGTTTTTATAATAAGTATGAATTCTTATTATTTACCCACAGACTGTTATCATTAACACACCAAAATGGTTTTCACCAAGACAGGCAAAACATGGTGTGTAGATCATATAACTCCCATTTGACAAATAAGGTCATTAGAGCCTAGCAAAGTTAATTGACACATTTGAGATCACACAATTAATTAGCCATAGAACTACCAGTAGCATCCAGATCTGGACTATAAGTCAGCACCCTTTCCACTATAATAATAAAAGGCAGCTAGGTGGCACAGTAGATAGAATACTAAGGCTGTAATCAGGAAGACTTATTCTCCTGAGTTCAAATCTGACCTCAGACACTTACTAGCTATGTGATCCTGGGCAAGTCACTTAACCCTGTTTGCTTCAGTTCCTCATCTATAAAATGAGGGGGAGAAGGAAATGGCAAGCTACTCCAATAGCTTTGCCAAAGAAAACCCCAAATGGGTCACAAATACTTGGACATGACTAAAATATCTGAACAGCAACAGATAAAAGGTATAAATTATGTCTGTTTATTCTTGTCTCTATGGCTAAGTATTTTTCTGTGGGCATTTTAACAATATAGTCTCATATTAGATACCTGGTGAAGGGAAATAAAGCATTTGATGGAGAAATAATATGTAACCCTGGTCATCTGCTAATCATTAATAAACATTAGCAAGTGGGCATACTTTAATCATTCAATAATCATTTTATGTCACACTATACATTATGCTTCATCACTATAAAAATAACACGTACACTAACCCATAAAGCGTTAATCCTTTCTGTCTGCAGATCAGAGTTACACATATGGTAGGTTAGATATCTTTGGGAAAAGCGGTGCCATGGGTTCTTAGGCCTGTGCCTTTTTCATAAAAATCTTTTATGACAGACTAGCTAAGCAAATCATTTTAAAAATAACTAGCATCTATTATATAAGGCCTGCCTAATGACTAATTGTGCGTGTAATGCGAAGGTAAATTTACTTTGCTGCACTGACCATCTTAGTTCATTAGAAACCAGTCATTTTTATTGGGGGGAAAAAGTATTTGTGATTGTTCCAAATTATGTCATTGCTTACTTCCTGCTCTCCCCTTATCTAGGACAGGAATATGTGACTGTAAAGGAGAGGGATCAGCTGCTCTTCGCTTGTAGGTCTTAGTAACCTTATCCACATCAGGCTGTTTTCTGGTCATTTCCTCCATGAAAGTCTGTAATGAAAAGGACAGCTGCCTTCAGAATATGCCAAAGTAAATAAATTATAATACAGAAACGCATTAAAAACAAAAAAATACTAAGTTTTACTTAGTCTGCTCTTGTTTCTGAGAAATTTTAGTTTTTCTTTAAAATTATCTGACCCTTGTAACAAATAAATATCACAGCCATTTGGTTCTCTGAAAAAAAAATTTTAAATACACATCTATGATTTTTGTCTATTTTTGGACCAGATCTGTGATTTCATTGACAGGAAGTACTCTCTGGGAAGAAACTCCTTCTACCAATGCAAGTTAGCACCTGTTCTGCAATTTAAGACTTCAGATAGATGCATTTATTACACAACATACATAGTTTTGCCAGGCACTATGATCGCAAAAACAAAAACGAAATATTCCCAGGCCTCAGGGAGCTTACATTTGATTGTTCTATTTCGGGATTTTTTTGGGGGAGGAGGGGCAATATGTACACATAGAGGTAAATATATTATATATAAATTGGAGCAAGTAGGGAAGACCTTGTGGAAGTAAGGAGGGAGTAGATTCAAGGATGTGGGGATAGCCTCTGTGCAAAGACACAGAGACGGGAGATAGAATATCATGTAGGAGTAATAAGAAGCAGGCCAATTGGGGAAGTACCCTGAGTACATGATGGACAAACAAAAAACAAAGGCTTAACGTCAATCACTTCAACATTCCAAATAATGATCTCTAGCCTTAAAAATTATTATGTATTTCTGACCTCTGGGGTTTTTGCCACATTTTCTTAAGATCTTCTCTAAACCAGGAGGATTGATAATAGTGAGATTCTTCATAACAATGACCTTAAATTATTAGGTTTGGTCCAAGAACATATAACAAGTCCCAAAATCTACTTGGGTGTTCATTTTGCTGGGAAAATGAACGTGAATAGTTAGGTTTTAAAGGCCCTACCTTTAAACCAGGGGTGGGGAACCTGTGAACTTGAGGCCACATGTAGCTTTCTAGATCCTTTCACTGAATCCAAATTTCACAGAAGAAATCCCCTTAATAAAAGGATTTGTTCTGTAAAACTTGGATTCAGTTGAAAGGCTACACTTGAGGACCTAGAGGGTCACATGTGGCCTCAAGGTTGCAGGATCCCCACCCCGGCTTTCAACTGTGGAACACGTATTTCCCAGCCCATTTTCTCAATTCCTGTCTAAGAGGAGATTGCAGCTGAAACCCTTACTCCTTGTTCTTCCCAGATGTCTGAACACAACTAAGGTAAAGTCCATTTTTACCTGGTGTTCTGCTATGAGGGTTTTCACTTCTTCAATCTCCTGGGGGAGGACTTCTTTGTCTTTCTCAGTGAGTGTGGTCTCTGCCCATTGCAACCAAGCCAGCAAAGCTTCCAGCAATTCCTGTTTAGCGATAAGACCAGCCAGGGCACTGGCCAGTCTCTGCTGATGCTGCTTTGCCCATGCCAGGACCTGTTATCAAAGTAGAGATCTGTTTTCCAAAGCTCTTCCAATTTGTAAAACAGCAATCCCATTCCTGCTAATGCAGCAGTAATTATGTGCAAGAATATCTACTTTTCAAATGTATTGATTAGCTATTTCTTGTGCTGTTTCACTATTCTACTCTCCTGCCATTCAAACTCACCTCAATATAATTGCCTATGCCTGCCCACTGATTTAACACAAGGAATTCGAACCAATAAGTCCTTAGAAGGAGGTAAGACAGACCATAGAGGGTCATAACCATCATTCCTCCAAGTCCATTATTTGGTCTTAAAGAGCAGTACTAAGTGAAGATGAGTCCCCTAAGATATGTCTCAGGAAGTTAAGGACTACAAAAACCTCTGCTTTCCTTACTTTCTAATTTAAGAGATTTAAAGTTCAGAGCTGACTCCTAGGATATCAGATAAGGGAGGTTTTGTGTGTGTGTGTGTGTGTGTGTGTGTGTGTGTGTGTATGTGTATGTATGTATTTTTTTTAAAGAAATCCCTAGAAGGCTAGTACAATCTCCACAACACACACCAACTCTGTACAATCCAATCTACAAATCCAGTCATCACCTCAGATACAGAATATTTTACCTTTTTGTATATCAATAAACTCACTTGGGAAACATACCACAATAGGAATAATACTGAAATGCTGGTTTACTTGGTACAGAGTGCCAAACTTTTGTCTATAAATGTTCTGAGCCAACATCCACAGGAATTCTACTTTAAACAAAATGAAATATAGAGTCTGATTGTGGGTTAAAATATTTGCCCTGTCCAATTGTAGGTATCATTAACTCCACAACACCTCTCCCCTCCCTCGACCTTCCCCAGCCAAAATAAACTCTACACAACTGTATTGTTTTCCCACAGTTGTTAACTGCATTTTAATTGGTCTCCAATTTATAAAAGATTGTCAAGCATTATGCTGATTATCTGTGCCATACTGACCTCCTCAAACCTGGCTCTAATGATGGTAATCCAGTGCTTGATGGTGGTAATGGAATCAGGATGGCAGATGGCCAGGACAGCTTCTCCCATACCTGTTGCCTTATTTAGTTCAGCTCTTTTCTCTTCCAGTTTCCTCATGAATTCCTAGAGTAGAAACAATGATTTCAATTAGTCACTGGCACTAGTTGAAAAGAACTTGAGTAAAGCATCATTTTTCTTAGCTAATTGTACTGATTCCAGCAAGTTTAAAAAACAAAACAAAACAGTGGTTCCTTTGGAGTTTGAATTGGTTCACACTTCCAGGAAAAAAATAATCAAGTCACATTTAATTTTAGTTTAAAGAAACTAGTAGAGAATGATTTGAAAATGAATTCTACTCTTACACTCTACAACAAAAATGAATATGGGAATACTATCTATGAAGAGGATCTATTCCAAAGTCACAAATTTGTCAGAAGGATTATAACCAGAAATAGAATATGTAAAGTTCAGAGCTGACTCCTAGGATATCAGATAAGGGAGGTTTTTTGTATGTGTATTTTTTTTAAAAGAAATCCCTAGATATTAATGGGAGATAAAATCTGTGAGTCATGACGCAGAGAAAGGAGAAGTTATGGGAGATACAGAAGGGTAAGATTGGGAGGGAGGAAGCATGCTAGCCTCAGACCAGTGCTGTGCTGGGCCAGAAGCCAAGTCTTTGTAAGATTGCAAATAAGTGACACAGGCTCCTTGGCTCCCTAGCAGTTCCCAAGACAACATATTCTCAGTTCTGAACACTCCTTCAGGCCCTATTCTCAAGACATGCTAAAAGGATTATCTCCAGTTTACCTGCAGAGTACATTTCTACTGTCACCCCACCACTTCAAACACTCCAACCACCTTATTGGGCCTTAATAAAGTTACAGGGAAAGTCTTTCAATTCCAATAACATTCACTAAGCACCAATCAATCCAAAAAGCCTTTAGAGAGCTTTTTGTTCCATAACTAGAGAAAAAAGGCTTAAAATTTGAATGTTTTGCTGAGGCAATGGGGGGGGTACTTATAATCAACAGAACAATAAGTATAGATAACTAGTGTTGGAGTCCTGAAGACAAGGACTGCTACTGAATGGGGATCGGGTACAGAAAGAAGATTAGGATAAATGACAAAATTGGATAAATTCCTAACTTTAACATTGGTTCATCCCTTGTTTACCTTCAAATGGACTAGGAAAAATTTAAACAAAATTATTTATGAAGCTTTCCTCAGGCAGCCAGTACCCTCCCAACTCCAACACAGTTAACACCCCAAATGAAGCTTGTGGGTGTAACACTGATTATATTACTTTATCACAGCCTACTACATACATAATTCACCAGAGGTAACACAGTATAATAGATAAAGCCAGTCTTGGGGTCAAAAAGACCTGAGTTTAAGCCACCCAGGTCCTTTCAGTGGCCTAGGCAACACTGTCAAGATTACCAGTTACACAACACCTGCAGGTCTGTTCTGGTAGAAGGAATAGTTTTCTCTATGGGAGTTTCCTGCTTTGATAAAATTAAAGATCCTCACCCACATCCCCTCCACTCCCTCCCAACAAAATAAAGCAAACAAATTGAAACACGTAGCCAGTCAGTTGACAAGAATTAATTAAGCTCCTGCTATGTGCTAAGGCTAAGGATACAAAGAAAAGCAAACAAAATCCCTGCTTTCAAGAGAGAAGAGGAGGAAAAAGAACAAGCTTTTTACTGATCTCCTATTATGTGCCAGGCACTATGCTGAGTGGTTTACAATATTATGCCATTTGATCTGCACAACAACTCTGGGAGTTAGATGCTGTCACTTGCATTCTGCAGTTGGGAAAACTGGGGCAAAGGTTAAATGACTTGCCCAGAGTCACTTAGCTAGTAACTGTCTGAGGCAGAATTTGAACTCAGTTCTTCCTTCCAGCAGGTCCATTGCTCACTCCTACAAGCTCATATTTCTAATGGAACAGATAACATGCAAACATATGAGATAAATACAGTGGAAGTGGGATGTAAACAAGCATTAGTAGCAGTTGGTACAGGGAGAGGCTTCCTACAGGAGGTAGGATTTGAGCTAAAGCTTGAAGAAGATCTCAAGGAAGCCAGGGGACAGAGGTGAGGAGGGAGAAAATTCCAGGCAAGGGAGAGAGATCGCCAATGTGGAAGTACTTAAAACGGGATTAGAATAGCATAGAGGAGGTACAGCATGGCCAGTAGTGGGACCACAGAATGCATGAAGGGAAGTAATATATAATAAGCCTGGAAAGGCTGTTGGGACTAAGTTCTGAAGGAAGGCTTTTAAGTTCCAAATAGCAGTTTATATTTGATTCTAGGGGCAATAAGGGGCCAGTAGAGCTGAGTAGGGTAGTAGCACAAACAGATTTGAGCTTTAGGAAAACCACATTAGTAGCAGCATAATAATAGCTCTGGCAGGTCTGACACCAAGCAGAAAAGGCTTTGGATACAGACCCTATTACGTCTGTCCTATGAAGTCCAGTTAAGAAAACATCAGAGAGGCTATTCATCAGAAGGCTGGCTACAGGTGATGAATTTGGTGGGGCGGGTGGAGGGGGCAGTAATTCAGAAAGATCATCTATTAAGAAGAGTTGTGTGATCTTTGTCAGTGGTGGGAGTTCCTACATCAACACAATCGAGACTTTTAAGTATTACAACTGACTTTCTCCTTTAATCATCATCTCATAAATCTAATATTGAAAAATAATTTGTGGTTAAGAAAGAAAGTTATTGTATTACTATAAAGAAATAACATGCTACAAAAGATAATGGGAAAAGAATCAATGAAAAGTCACTCTGGTCAGCAGCTGTCAACTTTACATAATTACATAAAAAGGATTAAACTTTTCACCTGTTTAGAAACACTATTTGGGTTTGATATTCAAATTACTCATTAAAATATGACTTTTATTTCTCCTAATAGAAAGACTTTGGGTTCTTCTGAGAATGCTAATCTAGTCTAAAGTGTCCTTTGAAGTCAGGGCATCTGAATTGAGTTAGAACTTCAAAGGACTCTTTAAAGTAACTCAGCAATCTCAGAACCACCATAGGAAGTGATGTAACTATTCTGGCCAGCCAATACATGTTCTCCAAGGACATCCTAGATCTGTTATTCAGTAGTTATTCAGGGTCTCTAGGAGCTGCTCTGAGATTTGCTGAAGCAAGAAAAGAGCCCCTTCTGGACAGTGCCCCTGCGAATATTTACTAAGTCATCTGAGGTTTACTGAGTCATTTATTGAGTAATCTGCACTAAAGCAGAACAAAGAAAACTCCTAAACTCAGCTATACGGATTCCTCTGTAAGGACTTCAGTAGCCTTACTAACACCACTCAAACCCCACCCTGCTCACAACAGTTTTCTCCCTTAAAAGCAACAGTCTTGGTCATTAACTCCCCATGATAAAGCTAAGGAAATATAGAAAGCAATATTTAAGACTGCAAAGCCTGTGCCTCCAGTATGAGACCTGGCCCCTTCTCTCTGACACCAGGAATGTGACTAGGAGCAGGCCCAGAAACACACGCCCCTGAGTTCTTCCCCTTGACAACATTAAGTGGCACCTAAGAGAGACTGATGCCCCTTCCTCGTACTTCACCGTGGGATGCCAAACCTTACTCAAACTATATTAAGATAGCTTCCTAAAGGAAGATATACCCATAGCAATATGCTCTAACCTTCATGTTCAAAATAATGAATCTGACTGCTTTCCAATAATATTTATGTTATGTCTCTTCTATTATATTGATGGTTCTAATATTTTAGCATCTCATTTCTTTAGATGACACCTTATAAATCCTTATCTACTTTACTGTCAAGAATGCAATACTTCATTGTTAAGGGCTCAGAAGGAATGTCAGCAGTAGTGGCACATTAGTTAAAGTGAGAAGCCATTGTACTGATGATGTATTCCCACTATTATTGTAATTAATGATGTGTTTCCTATATGACCTTCAACGACAGGGTTATGTTGAAAACTATCTGCGCTAATTACAAATGCTGTCTTCAGCAGTATACATCTTGTTTGCATTGAGAATTCCTCACTTTTACAGTCAAAAGTGAAAAGCCATCTGTTAAGAGACATGTGGGCCATTCTCTTTAGGGAACTGGCAAACTCCATTAATTTCTGCTGAAATTACCAAGCCTAAAAACACACTGGCATTCTTTCTTTGGTAGGATCATATACTTATCTATTGTGTATAGTAATTCAATTATTTGCTTGTATTACTAAAAAGTCAAAAATCAATCCATTTACAATCCTGTTTATAAAATTAAAAATGTTCCAAACTCTAGATGAAGAAATTTCATTTTTATAGAGATATATAAGTCCCCTAAATGAAAGAAAATGGTCAGGCTTTCACAGAATTGCTTTGATAAACTTAAAAGACATTTGTGAAGTATCTGCTGTTATCACTTGAAAAGAAACTTCCACAGGGCAGCTAGGTGGCGCAATGGATAGAGCACCGGCCCTGAAGTCAGGAGGATCTGAGTTCAAATCTGACCTCAGACCCATCACTTGACACTTACTAGCTGTGTGACCTTGGGCAAGTCACTTAACCCCAATTGCCTAAAAAAAAAAAAGAAAGAAAGAAAGAAAGGGAAAAAAAGAAACTTCCAAGGTGATTTAGTACAAAAAAGTCTGGAATGAAAACAACCCAGCTTGCAAAATACAACTCATGTTCTTTTTAGAAGTGGGGAACAGGTTCAACAGCAATTAACAATGTTAAGTTCTTAATGGGTGCAAAGGCACTATGCTACAAAGACAAAAATGAAGCAGTTCCTACCATCAAGCACCTTTCATTTTATAGGACATATCAGAATGAGGATAATTGCACTGGGTGCTGTAAAGGACAGGAAGGATGCAAAAAAAATTGCAGAAATAGATACAGCAGCATCAGGCCACTGATTTGATGTTGGGAGTGAAAGAGATGGAAAAGTCAAAAATACTTATGGAGTTATGAGCGTTAACAAATTAGAGGTTTGGGTGGTACCATCAATAGAAATAGATAAGTTACATGGAAGGACAGGTTTTGAAGGTATTAAAATAATCCATCCTTTGTATGTTGAATTTGTAATGCTCAGGAGAAACATCCAGTAGGGTCTGGAAATATAGGAATAGAGATTATGGAAGAGATTTAAATAATGTAAATTGTTGGCAGAAATAAAGATTCTGAAGTCTTGACAGCTAAAACCATGGGAATGAGTAAGACTGCCAAGTTAGGGAATGTGGAGAGAGAAATGAAATGGTCTAAACATAGATCTTTGAGGGACACCCACATATATGTAATGGAAAGAACATAAGGATCTAAGAAAGGAGACAGGTACATAGTAGTCAGAAAAATAGAATCAGCAATCTAAAAGTGAACTGTCACAGAAAGCAAGAGAGCTTATTGAGAAGGAGGGGAGTGGTAAACATTGCCAAATGATGCAGAATTTAAAGGAGAATCAGAACAACTACCCCCAGCACCAACGAAGGGGAGAAGAGAGATAAGAGGTTGAAGGGGGGGAAAGGATCTAGATAAAGATTTGTTTTTATGGTATTATGGAGAGAAAAGATCCACTATGTGTGGCCTGTTGACAGATGCCACACAAGCAATTACAGGTGGTGACCCAAGAAACATCAAAAAAAGAAAACTCCAATTGGGAATGGGTCTGGGGTTAATAAAGTGGACTCTTGGCTTCCATGTCTTGCATGTGGATATTTCTGCATGCATACATATGGACTCATATGTATTGTTTGCTGGAGGTGAAAAAGTACCCAAATTTTTAACTTTCATTTCAAAATCAAAAGTAGTGGGGGGAAATGGTTATTTCAAAACACCAATATATTGTTTCTTCCTACAACACTTTATATACCCAGTTAAATTTTACTTAGTATTGGTTTCTCACTCACTTTATGCTGATCAATGAGGTTGCGGAGTGCTTCTTCATCATCTGGGAGCACGCCATGGAACCGAAGTGTCTGCTCGGCCTCAGCCAACCATTCCAGGAGGACATGCACTACAGAGTGAAATTCTTCTGCCTAACATTTCACATGTGGGAGAAAAAAATAAAATTAAAATGACTCATGAAGTGAAATATGACAGAAATATTGTATCAGGCGATACCTTCCCACAATAAGAAAACTAGCTTTAGCTTTAGATTGATTAATTATATGTACTGATTTTTCATTTTAAAGGTCAGTGATCTGTGTGGCTGTATTTCCATAACTGTAAAAAGACATCAAATGTATCTTTCCAGTCTGTAGTCTTCAGGAGGACTAAAACTTATTCTTGCTTTCAACCACCTCATTTATAGTTGATAGGAAGCTTGACTTACACTATGTCATCCATTCAACTTGAAAAACTGAGAAAGTAGTCCTTTGATCTAAGATCTGACAGATCCCCTTTAAAAGCATCATTAACTAAAAATATGTAATGATGCTATAATAATTTTGTAAATCACTAATTCCATCTTCAGACTATGTCCTCTTAAAAAAATTCCCAGGCAACATCTATCTCTAACACAATAAAACGTTCTGGCCTTTTCTTTGTGGCAATAAAAAACAAACAAACAAACAACAACAAAAGTTTACCTGGCGTAAGGCTTCTTCTAATCGAGTCTGTTTTGATACTGATAACGCACATACAGTCTCCCACCGAGTACTTAATTCCTGCATTTGGACTTTAACCCACGAGGAGTCATCACGGCTGCCTTCAATAAGTTCCCGAGCTGACCGCTTGAGAGCCTGCACACTGCTTGTCCTTTTTCCCAGCTCCTTCTGGAAGACCTAAGACCACCAGAGTTTCATAAATAAATCTTCATAAACAATCCTTTCCAAATGGCACAATGTTCTGCTAGTGATTTTTCAGAAGACCTCACAGCTGAACACACATCATTCTCATTCCTCTTCATATTCTCCTCAAAGAGGAGAGAGATTCTCCCTTGGCACCTCAGCTTCTGTGAATCCCTGGCTTCCTTCCAGACTGAGTTCATAGGACAGCTTCTGTAAGAGGCCTTTCTCCATCCTTCTGGCTGCTAGCACCGGCCCCTCTAAGCCTACCCTCCATCAACTCTGTCAGCATTTTGTACCTTCTTATTTATATCCATGTTATCTGCTCTCCAATAGAATGTAAACTCCTTAAAAGCAGAGATTTTCTTTTCTTTTTTTTTAACACACAGCACAAGCATTTAATAAATGTTTTGCTTGACAGTATCATCTTTACTTTGTTCAGTAGTGGGTTGCTGCTTCAATTCAGTACAATTTAACCAATATATGTGTATATGTGTCTATGGGTGTGTGTGTATACACACACACACACACACACACACACACATATATAATATACATACAAATACATATACATACATATATACAAATACATACAAATAAATACATATACATGCCAAAGTGTCACAATTTCTAAGTGGCACCTAGGACAGAGTGTTGGGTCTGGAATCAGGAAGACCTGAGTTAAAATCCAACCTCAGATTCTTACTAGCTGTGTGACCTTGGGCAAGTCACTTAAGCTCTGCTTCAGTTTTTATAATTTGTGAAATGGGGATAATGATAGTACTTACTTCCCAGGGTTATGAAGATAAGATGAGATAATACCTATAAAGTGCTTTGCAGACCTTAAAGAGCTATGTAAATGCTGCTAACAACATCATATCATTACAGCAGGCTGATGACCATGTGATTGTGGGAATGGGGAGAAGCTACCTAACAATCTCAGGATCTCAAACTGAATCTTTAATTTAAAGGTGTTTTAAAGAAACATTTCTACTGATCTTGATTTGTATTAATGAGTATGTCCAGGAAGAACCCTAGGGGAATCTTAAGAAAGTTCCCATAGTCCTCATTTTTAGAAAATGTCTATTGTATTAGCTTTTCATATCTTTTCTTTTTTCAATAGACTTTAGTTTTCAAATATGGCAGCTTACATCCTTTTCTTGCCATACCTCAGGGCCTGTAGCAAAGTTTTCATTTTGCTTAACTTCTAGGCATAGCATGTATTTTGTTAAATAATTACTTTAAATAAATTACTTTAAAATATAAATTATTATTATAAAGTATAAATTTTAATTAACATTTTCCTTTCATTTATCCTTACTGAGACAGTATTTATTTTAGCAATGCTTTATTAAATCATTTTTTACCATAATCTTTGCATAGACATCCATTCACATACAACTGCATAATAGCTAGTATTCAATGAGTATTCAGTAAATATTTGTGAGTTGAATTAACATGGTATAGGAAGGATTTTGTGTGTGTGTGTGTGTGGGCATAGAGTAAGTAGTGATTATGGAAACAGACCCTAGAGTTTCTCAGGCACAGTCCAAAATTGCACATACAAGACTAGATGTTCCAATCAATATAAAATATTCTATAAAGATGCAGATTAACTAATTTAAAAAAATAATCAGAAATTTATGTGATCTCCTACCTACTACATATCTTTGCATAAATTTGGTTCTGCACTACATTTATGCTGATATAATCACTCAAAAAATCATTCATCTTAGCCAAACAACTAGTTTGACTAAATTTTATTGACTATCCTAATGGTAGATATGGTAGTGAAAGGTACTACCTCTGTCATACAAACACAATCCTTGAATAACTCAGTGTCATTTCCTATGAGAATTTCCAAGTTATTATTAACGTATTAACTTTTTATCTTCATAATATGCTATTAGTTCCATTTTCCTGATCTTGAAAATAAAATAGATACCTAAAAATTGGATGGATTGGTAAATATTTGGGCAATAAGGGAACTATATTTCTATCGAAAAAGGAACATTACAGATTTTTTATCATCGCTAAATTTATAAGATGATTCTTTAAGTAAGAGTACACAGAAAATTGTTCTTTATAATTAAATTCAACAAATATTTACTTAAGGCCTATTATTGATAGAAATGAGTGGAACTAATATAAATCACAATTTTGAAATCTGTTGTAGACGTAACATACGTGGTTTATCTGGTGGGTACTTTATTCACAGAAAAAAAGAATTATCCCTTCTGTTTCTGATGACTATCCATATGGGACAAAGTAATGTGTGAAAGAGTTAATTATAATGAAATATAGACCAAGCATTTTTGCTTATAAGAATAAATTATTTTGATTTTTTGACACATAAAATATAAAGTGAGACTTTAAAAAGATGAAAAAAAAGCCCTATCTCAAATTAGACTATCCACAGAGGGAAAAAAAAACCCAAGCCATTTTGATATTACCATTTTTATATTTATATAAGGTTTAGACTTCTAGATAATATAGTCATCGATAATATCTCATTTGGCCCTTACTTACAGGTAGATAAAGACTCAACACCTAAAATTTAATACAAATTGGATTCATTGAAAATAACCTCTAACTGGCAGAATATTTTAGGATGCTCAAAAGGCTTAGAGCAAAATGATCTTCTTACAATGATTAATGGTCAAACTTTCATTACAAATGCTGTCATCTAATAAAGTGCTACAGTTAGAAGTGGAGGGTCAAGAGATTTTTTTTTAAGTAATGAAAGGAAGCCCATATATTGACCTCGACAATAGCATCATAGCTCATGTCATATTTCACATACTTATATAACATCCTCATTTGAGTTCACACATAGAAAGATCTTTATTTTTACTGTAGAATAGCTTAAATTAAGATGCAATGTAATGAAATCTTATTAAAATATTTTTCAAGGAAAATGTTTAAGTTTTAAAGAAGAAACGTTGCATTATACGGCTTTCAGGGCTTTTCACTAAAAACAAATTAGGGATTGTTATAAGAGCAAAGCCCTTTAAAGTTAACCAAATTGCACAATATATTTCAATTACCATTTGCCCACTAAAGTAAATTTCTATTAAGACTTTTTTTCCTAATACTTTCACCCACAATACTTTACTTCAGTAAAAATGATGTCTCAATCTTTTCAAAGTATATTTATATTTAGACATTATTAAACTTTTTTTGTTTGTATGATTGTATACTAGCCATGAATGGATTTTATCATTTGTATTTTTAAACAGCTTTCCAAAGGTCATTCTTTACAAATTCCAATACAAAAGATAGTATATATCATGCAAGTCATTCAACCTTAATATATAATTTTATCTGTCAATTTAAAGAACTAGCTCTCTATTTCAAGATAAAATGATTTAAAACACTTAACCCAAGACAAATAGATTTTAGGGAACAGTCTCCAGATCAATACTGAGACATCAATTTGTTAAGTGTGAAGCCCAAACCACTTTGCTCACATGACTTACTAGTCAGCTGTATATACTAATGAATGATTACATTGTCCTAGCTTGTTTAGGAATAGATAACATTAAAGGGTCAAAGTCTTCATTAAGTCAAAACATGTCTGATGAATTATTTTCCCCTCTTTTCTTAAAATCTATAAGTAAAGAAAATTAAATTTCTGATTTTATGTTACACAAATCCATTTTTAATGATTAGTTACAATTTTTGTGTTAACGTTAAAAATAAAATGGTGTGGGTGACTGGTCCATATTTTAACTGATGGGATTAGACCTATGATTTAATTGGTATAAGTAACTTCCAGATGAGGAAATTCCTTGTATTGATGTTGTCACCTCTTCTGCAACTTACAATCTTAGAAAGCTGCCTAGAGTGCTAAAAGGCACGTGTTAAAAGCAGAACTTCAACTCAGGTCCTTCCTGGTTCTGAGGCCAGCTCTTTAATCACTGCACCATAAAGTTTAAGAGCATGATGATATATGCTTTTTTTAAAAAATAAGGTGGCACACTGAACTTTTTTTTTCCATTCACCAACCCTCCATACATTTTCAAAAAGATAGTTCACTGACAACTTCAATCAGGTTCTAAGAGAAATAGCATTAGGGTCCATTGATTAACATACATTGTATACAGTTTTAAAAGCATTATACATTTCCTTGGTCTACTTTTTTCTAATAAGTTTAAAATATATAGTGTGCTCAGTGCTTTTTAAATCCCTCTTAGGATCACATTTTTAAGTTGTATCCCATGTTTCCCATAGATTTGGTGATTCTATCCTTAAAAATATGTATATTTCTTGCACTAACGCCCAAGGATTAGTATGATCACTATAACAACAATAAGTCACATTTATATAGCACTTGAATACTTATTAAATGTTTTCTTAACAGCAACCTAACAATGCTGTTTATAAAAAAAAAGTCATGATTGGCTTAAATTCAATTTTTTTTTCCTCTTTCCACTCCTACCAGAATAAGTAAACAAGATAATAGTACACTAAGGTACACTAAGAAGGGAGTATGAGGTATTTATCAATACCTTGTGATTATCTATCAAATTCATCACTAAATCCATGTCTCCATGAACTGGCTGATCTTCTGCCAACTGAGGTTCAACTCTATACAGCCAATCAATGAGAGCCTGCAAGGCATCTGTGAATTGTCCAGAAAACAGCAGGGCTTCTTCCAATTTGTTTTGCCTGAAAAAATGTCAAATGAAAGGAGTTAAATCATTTTTTTAAAGTAATAAGAGACATCTGAATCAACCTCTCAGGAAACTTTAGTAGTGACCAAAAACAAAGAAAAATCCTAGGAGTGAGTGCTGATATAAACAAAAGAACAGTTGAATACCAAAAATTGAAATGCAATTGGTTTTTCTGCATGTATCTTTCCAATACTGTCTCCTTTTCCTTAAACATACCATCTAAGGCAAATTACTACATTAACACTTGTCAAAAAAAATTCACACACATGCACACGTACACATGAGTTATTTTAGCTCCAATTAACTTTAGCCTTCCCAGAAATGTGCATTTCCCTTCAAAATACTGTGAACACCCTTACTTTGAAGTTTACCAAACAGAGTGATGAGAATAGGTGTTACCAGATGTGTGAGGTTTTGGTGGGGGGAGAGAGAAAAAGCTTGAGGAAGAAGTAGAAGAAATAGCAAAGTGAGTTTTCTTCTGGGTCATCATTCTTACATACATCCTTGCAAACTCCCTAATGGAGCAACAGAGATTTCTTCCTCTGCCCACTCCAAATATTCTCATCTTTCCAAACCCTAAGATGTTCTTCACTCCTTTTGATATTGGACAAGAAAGTACTTCTTCCACCAATCCAAATGTTGCCCCGTTGGGGGAGAAAAGTACTACTAAAAAATAAGGTAGTTAATCCCTTACAAATCTGCTTCCTTTTCTCCTGAAGTCCTTCTGGTCTCCCTCATGCAACTTTTAAAATGAGAGATTCTTTACCAATAAAGAAAAAATCATTTTTCTAAGGTTATTTTTCACGAATTCAGATTTTGGGAACCCTCCTGCTTTACCATGTCCTTGGGAAATGCATTAAAAGGAAAAAAAGGGATTGGGGCATATACATGTACACAAATACACACATGTATGTGAACAGCCATCACAAAGGAAAATAATCTTAGCAATAGTTTTAGATTATGCAAAATGATCTAGTATTTATGTGTGTTTTGTAGATTGTTTTCATATACTTATGTATGTATACATTGTCTCCCCTATAGAAGACGAGATCTTTGAGAGCAAGAGCTATTTCATTTTTGTCTTGTCTCTGGTGCCTAGTACAGTGTCTGGCCCCTAGTAGGTAGGTACTTCATAAATGCTTTTTGATTTATTGATGTGATGGCGGCCTGGGGACACGGAAGATAAAAATGAAACACCTCCTGCCTTCGTGGAGCTTACCTTCTGGAAAACAATGTAAGTATATGCAAGATATTTACAATATAAATACCATGTCATTTTGCATAAATTTAAAATATTATTAAAGTTTCTTTCCTTCATGATGACTGCTAAATTATCTTTCAATTATGTTTCAATTATTAATACAGTACCTAGTACACACTGCTCCATACACACAGTAAATGCTCAATAAATGTTTATTGAGAACACCACCTTATTTATTTAATTCTATGGAGCTATTAGTGCTTAAAATAATGTGGTCAAATCACAATCTGCTTATTATTTAAAGTCACCTTCTGAAATACTAGATAAATTTTGTGTTATTCAAACAATAAGGTTAGATAAACTTCTAAAATTTCATTATCAAGTGAATAACTAAGAGACAACAAAATTTAGGCCAAATATAACGGGCAATGTTGGTACTATATATTGAAGTTAAAGTAATCACTACTCCACTCAGTTAATGTTTGTTAAACTACAAAAAAAAAAAAAATCACCTGGTAAACTACACAAGTAGGAAGTAATGTAGCATCATAGTAGCAAAAAGAAAAAGGCTTTGCTTAAGTATTTTAGGGACAAAATTAACATATATATATACATATATATATACATGTATATATATGTGTGTGTGTATATATATATATATACATATATATATACATGTATATATATGTGTGTGTATATATATATATATATATAAACAAACACTTATTAAACTTTAGATGTTTATTTGGAAGGGTCAAATGTGACAAAAGAAAATTTACCAATATATGTTAAAAATCTTATTGTGAATAAAATGGTGATAATATTCACACTTATCTCATAAGGACATTATGACCTGTAAAGCACATTGTAAACTTTAAAGTAATACATGAATTTTAGTTATTACTACTGTTGTTACTACAACTAGCTGCCTTTTTGTTAAAGCCTTGAGTTTGCTGGCTGTTGCTATCTAGCCTGACACCATGCCCTAAGAATCATAAGATCCTGCAATCCATACTGTAACCGACCTCTAAGTGGTTTATCTCTTCCTATTAGAATGCCAGCTTCTTGTTGGCAGGGACTGTCTTTATTTTCTGTTGGCATGCCCAGGGCTTATCACAGTACTTGGCACTGTGGTAAGCTCTTAAATAGTAAGCTCTTGAATGTTTTCCAATTAGTTCATTTATTTAATTTAAATTATACTCAATTTGCTGTATTGAAAAAAAACCTTTTGAAACTATTTTAAGGAACTCATTTTACCTTTCCACAGATTTCCCACATATAGTGTCCCATTTATCTCTGAGCTCACTTAACATATCATCCAGTTTCAAATTATCATCAGTCAGAGAGGTTTTCTCTTTCAGAGAACGTCCAGTTCTGTTTGTGGTGTCATAGACAGAGTGTTTTGCTCCAAGTGATTTCTGGAACTCCTGAATATTTGAAATGGGGAAAAAAAAATACACGCTTAATAAAGGCATGAAAGAAATGCATTAGTAAAAAAACAATCACAATAACGTTATTTGGAAACACAAATGATTAATGAGCACAGAAGATAATGAAGTATGTCATTTTAAATAACAAGTGTTGAGGCTCCTCATATTTTTCTTTAATTTGAAAGGCTTAAGAAATGTGAGAGAGTTGACTTACTCTTAGAAAAACACAAAATTGTTCTAAGGCTATAGCGCCATGAATATGAAAGTGCCTGTGACACTAGCCAGAGGCCAGAAGCATATAGCATAATGCTAGGCACATTTTAAGTACTATATAAATACTAGCTATAATAATAATAATTGTTATTATTAATGATATGCCCACACTGAGGAAATACTCCATGTCCCTTCTAGCTATAACTATTCATCGTTCAAAATACTCTCTGTTATAAGTGAGACCACTGCCTAAAAACAATGAATTACAATTGCAAGAACTTGGCCATACCTCAAGCTGATGCTACAGATGGATGACCCTAATGAGGCCTTTTACAAAAAGCTACACTATCATATTACATGATTCTTCTGAAAATAGGATAAAAACATTACCATGCAGGATCAAAGATAGAGAACACAAACAATGTCCACTGTACTTTGTAGTTATGTAGCTTGCTTACTCTGCTTGTTTTAGACATTATTTTCTAATGAAAAGTTTTAAAGGGAAGGGCACAGATTAATTTTACTTCAAACAATACTTGAAGTTAACAAACTTGAGAAGCTTCACTATTGTACTTATTTGATGTTTCCTGTCTATCATTTAGTATCTCTTTTTATAGACTGGCCAGTAACCTCATAAATAATTCTGATGCTTAGTTTATTTCCTATGCTACTTTACTATTTGTTCACTGCTAATGTCAATCCAACTAAGTCTGATTGATCATTACATGTTAAACAGGAAACATGCAGGGATTTTCACACTTGTACTATTTTAATAGGCACACAATGGGAAAAAGGGATAATCTATTTTGCCATTTCCACATACTACAAAAAGATGTTTAATTGGTGGGATCTTTGACTCAAGCACTAAATGTCTGCAGAGTACCATCATCTCGAAAGTGGCATTATGGAAGGCTTTCTATTGATTTCATCACTTGAATCTAAGGAAGCAATTGGTTTCTTTAGGAAAAGGGCTAAGAGACCAGAGAAACTAGGCTACTGTCATCATGTGAGAATTTTAACAAATAAAGGATATGACTCAGAAATATCATCCTTATTCAGGCTATCAATGCTTTCTGCCTCAGATACATGACGCCAAGTATGAAAGGAAATGGCAAAAACCACACAAATTATAAACTTTTTGAACTTATCTTAAGTGTGGGTCTAGTATTAAGTTCGAAAAATTCTATCTTCACTGAAGCAAATATTCAATTTAATACAGAGAACACCATACAATCACCAAATTCAGGAATATCAAGTCCAATAACAAAAAGAATCAATATCATCTTCTGTGACATTTTATTTTTAATCTCTGACCTATGTAACAAATTCAGCTTTTCTCTGAAATAAACATATTAATTAGAAAAACCCTCAAACTAATTTTAAAAGAAGTGAAATTGGAGCATATTTGCCTTTGAATGTATTTTTTTAAAAGCCTGTCTACAGTCAGTCAATAATGTATCCTCACCTTCCATGGATTTCTCAATTTTCTACAATCTGTCTTTTGACCTCATCATTGAAATGAAATTATTTTTTCCCCAAGATTACTGCTTATGTCTTAATCATTAAATTCAATGCCCTTTTCTCAGGCCCTAACCTTCTTGACATCTGTGTAGCCTTTGATACTACTGACCACTCTCTTCTCCTTCACTGGTGTCTTCACCCTGAATTTTCATTCTAGTTATCCTACCTGTGTGACTGTTCCTTCTTAGTCTCCTCCTCTCCTGGATTATCATTCATGACTTACTAAGTTTGGGTATACTATAGAGCAGTAGTATCAAACTCAAATAGAAATAGGGGCCACTAAACCATACATAAAGATCCCTGTGGGCACACATTAACTTAGAAAACCACATATTAGCATTATCTGTGTTTTATTGTATATTCATTTTGTTTGATATTTTCCAATTACATTTTAATCAGATTTAGGCTATACTCTGGAATGTTGCTGGCCATGCTTTCCCTGGTCTTTGGCCCTTCTTTCTATACTCTCTCAGTGATGTGATTGGCTTCCATGGATTTGATTACTATTTCTATGAGGATGAATCCCAGTCCAAATACCCAGACATCATCTCTTTCTACTGAACTTTAATCCCACATCTTCAACTACCTGTCAGACATTTCCAACAATCTATGCCATGGGAATCTCAAACTCAACACATCAAGAACACAGCACAAATGGACCATATGCCCTGCGGGACAGTTCTTATAGCCACCTCTGTTACTTGGTAACATCTATGAGTCCTAGGTATGCTAATGAGCAATTCATAAATATGATATAATTCTAACTCAGTTTTCAAAGCTCATAAACATGTTACACTTTTTAAACTACTTAGAAAGGACATCTAAATATACTGATTGTGGTAGGATCAGCTTAAGAATGAAATTTAGCTTTACGTACAATCAAATTTACATCAATATCGCAGAGATGGACTCTAACCTATTCAAAGAAACAATCACATTTCTGAGTTCAAACATTAAAAATACCATTTTTGGCAGGGTAATTTCCCCCCTTTTTCACTGGTTTTAGGGGGGAAAACTTTCCAGGTAGAAAAAAATAGAATATGGAAAGATGTAAGTATTTTTATTCAAGAACTGCTTCAAATCTTGATGCTAATTTTAATCCTCTCCACTCAATTCACAAATCATAATTCTAAATAATTTGGATGGCCAATTAAAAACATAATGGTTTAACCACTGCAAATTCTTTAAGTATTTTTTCTCTTTTGTTTGTGGACAACTCCATTTTCTAATATGAAGAACACCTATATGCTGCCATGTTGAATTTTCTTTCTATAACAATTTCAGAGATCCTAATGAATATGCTATCTTAAAAAAATGTTTCTGTGTGAAGAGACTATTATTACCATTTGAACAATCTGGAAAACAGCTCCTTATTTTAGAAATATGGAATTGGAAAGGACTTCAGAAGTCATCTAGTCCAGATATCTAGTTTGAAATCTGACAATACCGTATTTAATCTGCCACTAGTTTACACTGAATAGTTTTTTTTTAGTGGTTTAGCCAAAACATGATGAGTTGAGGTAGGAAAATGACATCATAATGCAATGTGATAGCTTCCTTTTTTTCAGCTTCAGACTCACTTTATGTTGTGTAAGTTGTGTCTTTATTTTATCTGGATCATTGGCAATTTCAAGCTCTGAATCCAAAGATTTCTCTGATTCTTCTAGCCATTCCATGAGTTTGCTCCAAGCTTCATGGAACTACCAAAAAACAACAACAACATTATTTTTACATTCTATAAATTTATATAAGGTAAAACATAACTGAAAGAACTACATATATAGAATCTACAATTTTTCCACATAGACATAAATGAATACTAAAGGAGAGTTTATATTTTTGAATGATTTAAGTTAAATCTAGCACATCCTCTGAAAGATAAAAAGGGTTTAATAATGGCCAAGAGTCTCATGTCTCAAACACATAAACTTGAACAAAAATTTGAGAAAGTTGAAAGGAACTGTAAAAATGTTTGAAGACAATAATGAGAACTACTTCTGGTTACTAACTAAATTAGTGTCTAAGGGAATTTTCTCCCTGCTTTTTCACCCTGAAAAGGTTTGGTATTCTTTAGGGAATTGGGAACTTTTTCATTCCTCACCATACAAGTGATACAAAGGAAGGGCAGACAAATTTTTGTAGAATCAGAGCTGCAAGGAACTTCAAAATCTTCTAGTCCAATACTTTCATTTAACACATAAAGAAAACGAGACACAGAAAGACTAAGAAATTTGTGCCCAAGATCACACAACTAAATGCAATTGTCCCCGATAATTTACTTGAACTATTTAGTAATAACAGTTGTAATATGTGCATGGAATTTTAGAGCAAAATGGGTTCTAGTAGTTATTTAGTCTATTCCCCTCTTCTTATAAATGAGAAACAGGTTCACAGAATTGAGGAGGCTTTCTTAAGATATTAGAGCTTTTATAAAGTCATTGTTAAAATCAGAAATAAAACCCAATTCTATTGGTTCTGAAATTTAGAGCTCTTTTCCATCCTACCACATTCATAGTTATAGGAAATACAGTCATTGACACTGTACATACAAACACCTTTACGGAGAGTCTATAGTTTATCAACAGTCTGTAAAATCATAGTATTCACATATCAAAAGATGGCTGGTAAGCCAATTGTTGGAAATTCAGAACTATTTCTTCATATAAAAAGCATTATAAATGGTAGTTAAATTTCCAGGCTAGGCAAAAAATCTTACTGCTGTTAAATACTCTAAGTAGGCAACGTAAAGAGGGGGTGGGAAAGTGAAACAGAGAGAGGAGGGAGAGAAAGAAAGAGAGAAAGGAGAGAGGGAAAGAAAAATCAAAACTGTTATAACACTAGTTCTGCTAACAGGGATAAAGAACTAGACTTGAAATTTCATCTGCATAGTAAACTTCTAGGTAAGGGAACTCCTTTTATCAGTGCTGGCAACTTAAGGTCTTAGAAGGTTGCCCAAAGCACTGAGAGATTAAGTGAGTCACACAATTACACTAGGTTACACAGGCAAAGTGTGTCATAACCAGGACATAACCATTTTCCTAGTTCTGAAACCAGCTTTCTCTGCATTATGTCATTCTAGTTGAATAAGAAAGTTGAATCTTGGCATTTATGTAAAACCAGGCTTAACTAGAAGAGGGGCACTTAGGAGATTCTGAAGAGATATTCCTGCTTTTTCAAGGGCTTTATAGGTTGACAATGCTGGTTTTCTTTCTTTTCTCTAATTTTACTTCAAAACTTGACTTTGTTTTTCCCTGATAACAGTTTGTTGGCAGTATTATTGGCTGTTGTTCGGGTGATTCAGTTATGTCTGACTCTTTGTGACCCTATGGACTATATTTATAGTCCATATTGTCCAAGAGGTTTTCTTAGCAAAGATACTAAAACAGTTGGCCATTTCCTTGTCCAATTAGCAGTTATTACCCATACCCTTATCATCATGACCTAGGTATTTCTTTAAGACACAAATGGAACAGAGAGAAGGAGGTATTTTTTTTTAATGGCAAAAGTTGAAGAGAAGGGGAAAATGAATTTAAAGAAGTGTGTGTGTTTGCATACGTATGCACATATATAACATAGACAGCTATTGTCTGCACAGAGAATCAACTAAGATAACAAATGCTGTATATTTATGGGAGGGGGTAAAGGAAATTGGCCTTGGGAAAGACCTCAATCACGGAATTCCATATGCTTACCAACAGATAGTACCTTTAGCAGAGGACAGCTTGGTTAAAAGGAATTTGTAGTATTGTATAACTAGCTCTATCTAAGACACATTTGTAATGACAGTAATCACAACTTGCAAAATGTCTATGACGAAAAATGTTGCTTTCTGCACCAAATTCTACCCTTTATATTTGCTGGGGTGGAGAGGTACTGGTTTAAAGCATCCCTTCTTTCTGTATTATAAAGTTTCATGCCTAGGCCAACACAATCTGGTCCCATGACATTAGAATTAGAGGAAAGTACTCAATGGATCCATACGGACATATAAGAATTGTGACTGAGCAGGATACATAAAGTACAACAGTGGCAATTCTACAATTCAGTCTCCATAACAGAGAATGCCCTCGGAAAGAAAAAATTATTTCCCCCACCCAGCCAAGGTGGCTATCTTCCTATCAGAAGACAGAAGCTAGCTAGTTTCTCTTATAAACAGAAATAGTATGGATTATGAAAAGAGTGTAAGAGGAAGATGCCTTGATTTTTTTAATATCCAAAAGGGTACAGATGATGTTATCGCACCCTTTTAACCAGAAAAATATGACCAAACATAAAGCTTTAGCTTAAAATATTAAAAGTTTATCAAGTGGTTGTGAGATAGTACTATTATAATGTTGAAAGGGAAATACAGATTTGGTAAACAGATACAGATAAGACTTCCAATAAAATTCAGAGAGGAGAAAAAAAGTCTTAAGATAAATTGAATAGGCCTCAAAGGCCTTTGTCTTGAAGAAAACAAATCCATCTCTTTGCAGAAATTTCACCTTTATGACATCAACAAAAGGTAGCCACATAAATAACTACATATGTTAAGTAGGTCATGAGCATAGAGATTAAGAGGAAAAAAACTTAACCAAAAACAAATAAAACTTTGTTTTGTCTTTACAGATGATAATAATAGCCCTTGTTGGAGACAGACTATAATCATTCCTTTTCAGATTATTCTGTATGATTAAAAGCCAATATAAGGGCAGAAAGTAAAGATGTCAGTACTTAGGGTGCTGCCCTGTAACTGAAGTAATAATTTCTTGGGCTCACAGCAATGACTTTTTATCTCTATTTTAACCCGCAATAAAAGACTGAATAATACAATGATTTTTCTAACAGTTAGGTATGAGTTACTGCTAAATTTACAGTTTCATAAAAGCTATTATATTACCTGCTTTGCTCTCTTTCGTGCATCATCTAGAGCTCGCCCTCTTTCCACTAATCGCTGGACAACTTTTTCCCATCGACTCTGAACGCTGATCAAGAGATTTTTAATAATGACAACATCTTGTTTTTGGCTAAAATATTTCAGGTGGGTTCCATTTTTGTCCAGCTCGACGATCTGATCACGATGAGAATTTACTTCATTGGCAAAGACCTTTCCAGAGAAAAGCATCACATGTAAAACAGTTTTTCTATGTTTACATAATATGCAATTACAAAAACTATACCAATATACACTTAAAAAGATTGAAACCTACAATGCAAAAACAAAACAAAACAAAAAAAAACAAACCACTTAAAACGAAGGTTTCTAGCAATGAAACCTCCCAGTATCTTGAAAAGGAGAAATGAAAATCCTATCTGTCTGATTCACGATATACCTTGTGTTCATCAATTTGAAACAAGACAGTGTCTAAGATAAGACTTGGCCGCGAAGCTACATTCAAGGTTTGTTCAGCCTGGGTAAGCCAGTTGATGAAGTCCTGAAGAGAATTGTGGAACTCCATGGCCAAATTAAGGGCATCTTCTAGTTTAGCCTGGGGGGAAAAAAAGGCTATTTAGTACTTGATGCTATTTCAGAGGTTCTTTTGTCAGTTTGGCCATTCTTTGGCAGTCTTCCTCTGCCTTCCTATTTAACAGTGAATGATTTGCATCCATTCTTTTTTAAATGAAATAAGTCCACAGTGAAAATATTAGAAAACATTTGAGAACTGTATCGTATGCCATTGCATTTCAGTATACTATATCTTGTTATTTGACAACTGGACTACTAAAAATAGCAAGTTTATAGTCATATTGTCAATATGAAGTGCCAAAAATATAAAATATTTTTGTATAAATATAAAATGTTATACAAAACAAAATATATAACATAAAAATATATAATATAAATAATATGTAAAAAATAATTATAAAGTATAAAATATTTTAAAAATTCAACACGTCTGGTCACTTAAAAGGCAGACTGTATCTAGTATCCTACTATTCTAACATTTTTCTTATAGTAAAGCATCACCATCAACAATTCTCATTCACTGCAGCAGTTTCAAACTGTAACAAAAAGAGAAAAATGTATTCGTAATTTAACATGAACTTTATATCTCCTTACTTAGAACCCTTTATTTGCTGTTTTGGTGTTTAACTTTTATGTGGATTATTCAATATTTTCTTAAGCTTCTACACAACTATGACTAAATTCAAATCCTACAAAAACTTCGTTCAGCATCAGCCCTACCACTACTACTTCTAGCTCACCAGGCCTTACCCACTCGCCCTGCTGCTACACCTGCTCAATGCCAGGGCGTCACCATCTGAGCAATATTGCTGATGCATCCCAAATAGCTCTGGGTCTTACTGTTGGCCCAGACATTGGTCTCTTAGGAACCACTAAACTTTTCCATTTTCCTTGCAAGTGAATTCTCATTTATGTGTTGCCTTCCATAATTAGAATACAAGTTCCTTGACAGAAAGGACTGTCAAACTTTCCTATTTGTAGTTCTGGGACTTAGTACAATGCTTATACACAATAACAGCTTAATAACTGCTTTTTCATTTATTCATTCAATCAAAGAGGCTCCCAATTCTGTAACTAAAAACAGTTACTGAAAACACAAATATAAGTAAAAATGTAATTGTTCCATTTTTACTGATTATTTTCTTAAGTGTGGACACAGAATTTTATTTCATTAACTGTTTAAAACTCATAAGTTTGATTTTTCCTAATATATTTATAAGTATAAAACATTAAAAACTCTCAGGCTCCTAAGATATATCTACATAGAAAATAATTCATATCTAGAAAAGACAACTGATAAAAAGCATTATCTTTAGTTTTAACCAATGCACATACTTTTCTTTCACTGAGTTTGGCTTCTATAGATTCCCATTTTTCTTTCAAGTTATTTATGTCTTGGTCAACGTTCGTATCTGCAGACTCTGGGCATCTTGCAAGCATCTGCTGGCCCTTTTGCATGAGGCACTTATATGTTTCTTCTTTAACTTCAAAGGCAGCACAGAGTTCCTAAATTAAGATATCAAAAAATAGTATTGTAAAGAAGTAAATTCAAGAGTTCCATTTTCCCCCAAGTCATCAATCCAGAGCTCTGAATTACATAATCTCTACATGGAGTGTAATTCATATCCAGATGTGCACCTTTCCATAAGTCCTTAAGAACAGAAAATCTCAAGCACAATTTAATAGATAATACATTCTAAGATCCTAATTTCCATCTGTGAGATTTATGTTTTTATTTGGTATTGGAAAATAAGCCTAAGTAGCCACTCACAAATCAGATTTGTTCACTTGTATATTTGTTTTTAACTTGACCTGAAATTTCATTGACATGGGAAGACTCTTGACATGGATACTCTTTCCACTAATGTAAAACAGTTCCTTGCACTTCAAAATAATTAGAAAAAGTAAATCCTTCCAAAAAATAAATAGTTGGGCACTACTGGGAAGATAAAGTGACTCTGTGAATTTCAAATAAAGAATCACAAGTTTACTTTCGGAAAGGACTCAATTATTAAATAAGGCCTATAAAGGTTAAATGACTTGCCTACAGGTAGTAAGTAGCTGAGCCGAGATTTGAACTGTCATCTGGCACCAAATCCGGTTCTTTTTCCCCCACCACCAAACTATCTTCTGATAAAGGTGTGTAACGGAAATGTCAGTAAATCCAACAGAATTTCATCTCTAATTTATTAGAAATCAACATCTTAGCAAAAACACCAAACAATTAACCAACCCATTGACCAGCACCGTGTTGTAATTTTCCTCATACCATGGAAACATGGAAGGAGAGAGTAATACAGATGTGGCATGCTCTGTATTTAGGATTAAGCAAAAGCCCCTCTTGAGGGCTTTTCACATGAAGCTAACCAATGCCATTATCAAAAAAGCAGACCATTTGTTACTTTTTTCATTTAAGCCATTAGGAATATGTTTTCCAAGAAACTGTGACAATTACTTGATATCAAAAAATGAGTACCAAAAGGGCAATGTAGTCATTCCTCTGTACTTTTTTTTCACCTAAGTGATTTAATACGGTATTAGTCATACAATGGTAGTATTGTTCATATAAATTTTTAATCCCTTATGGGGGAAAATCGGACTAAAATCTAAAAATTCTATTTCCAATTGATGAACTATCATTTTGTGTACATGGAAATACTATCCTTTCACAAGTAAAGCTGTGTTAACCTTCAGGCATATAATTAGCTAATTGTGTATTTTCACAAACTGACTGTTTCTGCTATAAATTTTTTAACATTTTATAAACCTTACGCATTATAAACAGTTTCCAATCACTAAAAGTGCTTACAAAAGTTAATCTCCTAATCCCAGGCTAACTAGAGAGCTTTTCGAAATGATGTACTTACCATATGGGTATTAAGCTGTTCCCGAGCTGTTTCTGGTAATCCTCCAACAGGTTTTGATGCCAACAAGTGACGCTCAGTGTCCGTCAGCCACTGATGTAAATCTTCAACTTCTCCATGGAACCCTTGTGCCTAAATTCAAACAAGCTATTTAATCTTTAGGTCTGGGAGGTAAAATTCTCTAATGAAAATAAAAGACAATGCTTAAGTAATCCCAGCCCCCTAAATCTATCTCTGCTATCAGAAATGTCAGAACCTCACAGATTTTTCCTTCACAAGTCACATTTGGGACAAGAACCAGCATATCTGTGATCCCAATGCTCAGTGCTGCAGGACAGAGCAAGAGGTTTCTGATAAACAGGAGTCTGAAAACAGCTTTAAGAACCCCATGCTATTTTTGGTTTTGAATGCTGTGCTGAAGTTTCTTGAGTTTCCCGCTCACCTGGTGCAAAGCAGTATCTAGCTGTTTTTTCCTTTGTTGTGTTTTTTCCAATACATTTTGCCAGCGTTGATTTAAAACCTCCAGCTTGGTCTGGAGATTACTTGCTTCTTCTCCTGCACTTGATTCAATTAGGTCATTTCCTGCTTTCTTAACAGCTTCCACTGTAGACTGATGAGCTAACACATCATTTTGGAGCACCTTCGAATATTAAAATGATACCAAGGTGTCTATCAGTTACACTCCTTAGCATTACTTTTAATTTACTGCTAAGAGCGACATATACAACAACCAAAGTTTGTGTAGTTAATAACATTATAACTTTACTGGGTTGGGTTTGTCTTTAAGATTACAACAGATTGCCCTGTGTGTATATATGTGTGTTTGTGCAAACACAGACACACATTTGATAACTATCACCCATAAAAATGATCATCTGAAAATTTTTTCCAACTTGATAAGTATCACACATACCTAATGAAAGTATGCAGAACAGGGCTGAATATTACTTCTACATTAGATTCACCAGTTTATTTGCTAAAAATTATAATAATGATAATAATAACTAACATTTATATAACTTTTACTATGTGTCAGGCACTGTGACAGATGCTTTACAATTACTATATCACTTGATCCACACTGACATTCAAGTCTTAACCCAGTAGTTCAAGAATCTAAAATTTAAATTTTATTTTAGTGTCACATACTTCTATATGATCATACAGTTACTATAGTTACAGGATGCTGTTGCAATTGCTATGTTCACAAAAAATCACATAATTTTGAATTAGCATCCTTTGAAAGCAACCACTAAACTCCTCCTTCAATGCCTTGTAGTATGCAGGTAGCTCTAAGTTCTTCCAATACTCTGCCAATGAAACACAAGCTCTGACAAGTCTTGCCAAGTTGGAAAACCTTCACGTACAGACCCAGTGACAGAGTGTTTATTTTCTGAGGACTGAGCTGGCTAAGATTGTGGAGGCCCAAGTAGGTCATGAAGTATGCTGGCCATGGTGATTCATGAAGACTGTCTAACCTAAAGCATGGAGGGGTTGCTATTTGTATTGGTGAAGATAGCAAATGTACTGATAAAATCATGTTCTTTTGAAGGTAGCTTGAGAGCGAAAATTGACTGACCAGAGAATATGGTTTTATCTTCCCCTGATAATGTCTATCCTACTGACTGAGTCCTATTACCCCTAAGAACCCAAGTAGGAATACTGCAATGCAGGAAAGGATGAAATCTAAGCTGCATACAAACTGTGAAGTATTTTAGCAATGTGTGCAACGTACATCAAGTAAATATTACATTTCATACAGGAAAAGAAAGTTGAACTTTGGCTAATACAGACTGAAGAATAGCTTCTACAATATCTATAGGGCAGCCTCTGCAAAACAAACATGTTATGTTGCAAAAGTTTGCCAGTAGGGCATTTGTTTGTCAAGTACGTTCACATATTCCAGTGGCAGCAATATGTTAATTCAAATATTTGCAAGATAGGCCCAGGAGCTATAATATTAGGATAAAAAAATAATTTACAGCTAAAAGAGAACTCAGAGTTGATCTAGCCCAGAAACAGAGTTTAGAGACACTTGCCCAAAGTCACACAGCTAACTGGTGGCAGAATTTGGGGAAAATTTTTGATTTACCATAGGGTACTATAATCTTTACTCCCTGTAAAAACAAGTTAATAAACTCTAACCACAATACACATACTTTTTCTGTTATGAAAAATCTTATTCCAAGTTACTGCTTGGTATACCAGAGAAGATATTATGTTTCAATGCTACCCTAACAGTAAGAGTTGGGATACTTCTTCACATTCTCCTGCTCCATCAGTGGGATTGGTACTCTCTCTTCTCTAACGGAGAACAGCAGAATAATATCTCAGAAGCCAACTAGCACCCAAATAACAATGGTGACAATGGTTACCCAGGCACAGTGTGAAATGGGGGGGGGACCTTTTGCCTCCTGAAGGAAACCATTCAAATGTAGGATGTCAGTCAAGAAAATTTTCCTTAAATCTAGCCTGAACCTGCTTCTCTACAACTTCCATCCATTGTTTCTGGTTCTGTTTACTGAGGCCAAGAAGAACAAGTCTGATTTCTCTTCCATGTGAAAGCTTGTCAAACCTTTATAAAGAGGTAACTTCACCCTGACATCACACCAAACCCCATAAGTCTTCTATTCTCCAAGTTAAACATCTCTGGTTCCTTAAACTGATATTTATATGGTGGAGTAGCTCACCACCCTATTCATCCTTCTTTAGGTGCTCTATAGCTTTCCTATGTCCCTTTTTTTTTTCTTTTGGAGGCAATCAGGTTTATGTGACTTGTCCAGGGTCACACAGCTAGAAAGTGTTGGTGGCTAAATTTGAACTCAGGTCTCCAGGGATGTGCCACCTAGCTGCCTTGTCACTTCTAAAATATAGCATCTCCCAGGCCAGAGTGCAGAATAACTTACCAACTCCCTTGTTCCGGATACTACACCTCACTTACTGTACCTACTCACACTGCTGACACATATTAAGCTTATACGAAAAGGCTCAGATCTTTTACATAGGAACTTTCTAACCACACCTCCACCATTCTGTACAGTTGAAGGTGATTTTTTAAAACCATACAGAACTTTATTTTTATCCCTATTAAATTTATCTTATTATATTAGCCTACCATTCTAACCTTTTAAAACTCTGGCTCAGTCAATAGTTCTAGACCATATAAAATAATTAGACAGTATTAAAAAAGAGAGCATACCTGCCAAAACATACACAGGAACTATACAGATATAAACATAATACACCTTTTATACAAAGTTAGATCTAAATAACTGAAGTAATATTTATTGTGCATGTGTAGATAAAGCTAATATAATTTTAAAAATTATAATTTTACCTAACTATGTAATGCCATCATGATTAAATTACTAAAAAATTATCTTACTGAGTGAGAAAAAAATTATAACACAGTTCATTTGGAAGAGCAGAGGGTCAGGAACTTCAAGGAAATCAGGGGCAAAAGATGTGAAGGAACTAGATTCAGCAACATCAGACCTTAAACCATATTATAAGGTGGGAGCAGGGCTGAAGTGTAAAATGAATAATTATGATTATTTTAAATTTAATTTTTTCTGTATAAATAAAACCTATGTAGCCAATAATAGAGGGAATGAAGAAAAATTGGGGAAAAAAAACCTCATAGACAATCTCCCAGATAGAATGTGATTGGGTCAGAATATTGTTGTGGTGCAGAAAATGATGAACTGGTGGATTTAGAAAAATATGGAAAAAGTTGGACTTATGAAGGAAGATGCTATCCACATACAGAGAAACATGACAAGTAGAAATAAGCATAATATGGTTTTCCGTACGTATGTTTGAGTATGGATGTGTATATAAGTGTAATTTATGGATATCTAGGTATATGTATGTATGTATGTATACATGTGTATATGTGTGCACATATGTATGTGCATACATACATATGTATATATCACACGTATGTGTATTATATATGTATGTATATGTGTGTGTATATATAAAATATATTTTTATATATATATATATATATATATATAATGTGTGTGTATATATGCGTGTGTGTGTGTCTGTGTGCTTAATTGTAGCCTTCTGGGGGGACGGAGGAAAAATAAAGTAAAAAATGCACAGCAGAGGACAAAAGAAAACATACAAAGAAGCAAAGAGGGGGCAGCTACTTGGCACAGTGGATAGAGCACTGGCCCTGAAGTCAGGAGGACCTGATCAAATCTGGCCTCAGACCAAACACTTGACACTTACTAGCTGTGTGACTCTGGGCAAGTCACTTAACCCCAACTGCCTAAAAATAAAAAAAATAAAAATAAAACAAAGAAGCAAAGAAAAGATGGACAGCACTGAAAATAATGTGTAGTATTTGTTATACAGGTTTTCTTGAAATGGAAATTTATTGCTTTATATTGAATCCTCTCATATGTGGCATGTGTACATGGGCAATGGGTTTTTTTTCTTTTCTTATTGTGTATTTAAGTTTAAAACAAATTAAAATATAATGTAGGCAGCAAGGAGGGAGTAAGTAGATATGGAAATATAGACATAAGAGAAAGAGGGGAGTAGAGGGAGAAAAGGAAGGAAAGCAAGAAAGAGAGAGAGAATATGAATATAACATGAAGGCAATCTACTGAGGAAGATGGGAATGGATAGGATCAAAGGTTTATAGAGAGGGGTTCCCCTTTGCAAGAAGGGCTACATCTTCATCAGAAATAGGACGAAAGAGCATTAGCAGTTACTTCCAGCTTCATATCATCTATAAATCTGCCACATAATTGTTTCAACTAAGTCATCCAAGTCACTAATAAAATACTGAATAGTAAAGAGCTGGGGACAGCTCTCTGGAGTACCTCCTTACAGAACACTCTCCAAGTTAATAACTCTTTTAGGACTTTTTTGTGTCTGATCATTCAAGTAGTTCTGAATCCACCTAACTGTATTATTTAGAAAACATTTTTCCATCTGGTCCAAAAGCATGAATGACTTTGTTATAAAGTTCCCTGGAATCTCATTATTTCATTTCTATAGTATGCCCCTAACTATGTGGTGATTCTATCAAAAAAAGCATATCCAAATGAAGTTAGTATGACATGACAAATGAAGATAGAATGGCTCATGATTAAACTATGCTAACTTTTAATGATTGCAGATTTCTTCCTAAAAACTGATCAATCATCACCTTAATATTATATTCCTGGACATCTCTTTAAATGATGAGAAGGAGATAAGAGGTCTGATGTTTGGAACAGAAAGGTCAGTACCTTAAGTTGGGCAGTCACTTTTATTATTGTTGTTGTTCAGTCATTTCAGTCATATCTGACTTTGTGACCCCATTTAGGGTTTTCTTGGCAAAGATACTAGAGAGATTTGTCATTTCCTTCTTCAGTTCATTTTACAAATGAGGAATTTGAGGCAAATAGGGTTAAGTGACTTGCCCAGGGTCACACAGCTAGTAGGTATCTGAGGCCAGATTTGAAAACTCAGGAAGATGAACATTCCTTACTCCAGGCCTGACACTCTATCCACTGTGCCACATAGTTGCCCCTCCACTTTTATTTGAGAGACATTAAATAAGTTGGGCATTTACAAACTTAGTATTTCCTGTACTAGATGACATTTATATAAAAAACCCACTTGCTGGTGATCTTTCTTCTTTTAAAACAGTAAAAAACTAAGGACTGTTTAGTATTCCTTAATAGGACAAATGGTATATTTATCAAGAGGCAAGTGGAAAATATAATACCAAGTAGATGAGAAAGCAGTTTCTAATAAGAATTTCAAGAAGTAAACACAAAGTTGGTAATGTTTGTGTGCCAGGAAAAGCTGCTGTGACTTCTGGCAAAAGCCAAAACATTAAACTTCCCTCTACTTTCATAAGAGATAATCATAACAGTACCCCACATTCATAGAACCAGAGTTGGTAATGACTAATAAAAAGATCCTTCTCTGTTTTATATCAGACAATACACATCTAGAGGAAGAATAGAAGGGAAAGTTTTAAGTGAAGAGCAGCAGCCTTCTGAGATCATTTGGAATTAGGACAGCATCTGTCTACATAGGCATTTCCGGAACCATGTATCAAACTGTCTAGAAGTGCCGGAAGCTAGGTAAATATTCATAACCCTAATCAACAGAAAGAAAAGTTGTTCTATTGAATAGCCAAGTTCATTTTCCCAAAGGATAAAATTCAAGACACTTACTGAAGAATCAGCACTTCATCTAAGTATGTAAATCTAAGAGATTGGTGGATATCAGGAATCATTTCACCAAGGTTAAGTTCTATTAACTGACACTGATCCACAGGGAGGAAAAATCAATCATGAGCTACATAAAGAGAAATTTAATTTTCTTGACTTTTTTGACATCAATATAAACCTTCCACTTATCCTCTGGGTTTAAAGAAAAATAAATAGAAAACTCATACAAATACATAAATATCCATGTGTGTATTTTATATGGCAGCATTCCTTTCTTTAACATTAATTTGTATTGAAATCAGTATAATTATATGATGCTTCTAAATAATCATTAATAAAAATGCACCTGTCATTTAAAGCATTTACTTACATGATGCTTGGCAAGTTCAATTTCAATGGCTTTCGGATCTCCACCAACTGGTTTCTGTTCATTTAGCAAATCCTCAGTATGTGTCAGCCATGTCATTAACTCATCCAGAGCATGTTGGAACTGTCCCAGAGCTAAAAGAGCACCCTCAAGTTTATGCTTTAGGAAAAAAGAAAAAGAGAAAAAATGCAATCATGAAATCTTTATGATTGATTTATGTTACAAAACAATTATACCTAACTAATGTTTATGTAGCACCTTCTATATATATATATATATATATATATATATATATATATATATATTATATGTATATATATATATATATATATATATGTGTATATATATATATATATATATATATATATATATATATATATATACGTGTATATATATGTATATATGTATATATATATATTATATATATATGTATATATATAAGTGTATATATATATATATATATATATATGTATATATCAGGTACCGGTTTAACGGCTTAACAAGTATTATCTCATTTGATCCTCCTAACAACCCTGGGAGGTAACTGTTAGTATGCTCATTTTACAGTTGAAGAAATTGGGGCAAACAGACGTTAAGTAACTTAGCCAGGCTCTAATAGCTAGTAGGGTATTTGAGACTGTATTTGAACTCAGTTCTTTGTAACTCTAGGCACAGCACTCTAGCCACTTCACCACTTAGTTCCGTGGAGACAGCTTGAACATAAATAAATCTTTTATATATTAAATTTAAATTTCTGGATATCATTCCTCTTAGCTGAAAATAGTTATTACTTAGGTACTTAAGAGTTTAAATGAAGCAAGAGTGGTAGAAAGGCATAATCATGTCAACATCAAGCATTAATAATTTTAATATTTAAATGCCTTTTTAAAAAAAGATCTAGGCAGCAAGAAAATTAAAACCTAGTAGGCTTTTATACTTAGATTTCTGACATCATCAATGTGGATATTCCCACCAATGATGTAGATAACAATCCAACCTGTTTAACTGTCACCCAGATTCACCCTAAATATGTCAAAGTAGAATTTATCTAATACGCCAGGAGCAGGGGTGGAAGTGAAGGAGGGAAAGGCTCCCTCTAGACAAAATCAGTCCCATGTCCCTTGGTCTGAACATAATAAAACCCGTTATAACCAGAGAAAACGATATTAAACATTCCCAGGTTGGGAAACACACACATACGCACACAAAATGCTTTTTTGTTTACCTGTCTATTGATAATACGTTCATCTAAGCTGTCCCAAATCAACTTGAGTTCCATCAAGGGGTCTTGGACAGTGTGTTTATCACTTTCTTCTGTAACTTTCTTCAGTAAGAGGTCTGCTTGATGGTTTAATTTTTCCATTTCTATTTGCTGCTGATAGGCCTCTGATTTAAATTGCTATTATAAAAACAATATAGAAACAAACATATAAAAGATAACTCTATTGCACCCTCTACAACAAGTTAAGTTTTAAAAAGCAAAGAATAACAAAATTAACTGCTCCTCTAGGCCAGATATTCTTGGTGCATACATGCTCTTTGTAATCTCTTTTGTAAGAAGCAGCAAGAAGAAACATTCTAAGACTCATGAAAAAAAAAATTCAGATTGAAAAGATCTGGCCACTTTCTCCTTCTCATCCTGTTATTTTTTTTTATAATGGCCAGAATGCTGTTTTTTATTCCCTATTTCAATATCTCAATGTTGTTATTTACTGAGTGAGTATATTTCTAGACTTTGTATATTTTCTATGAGGTCCAATTACACATATTACACATACACATACAATTACACACATAAAAACTTTTTTAAGACTATGATGTGACATTAGGGATGCTGCAGACAAGAAATTGAGCTACCCTGGGCATGTGAAGCTAATAGAGGATTTCTTCTGGGAAAGTAGAATTTTACCCAGATTAACTTCTGGCATTATAGAAATGAAACTGGTTTTTATTGATATTTTCATGTGCCTTTTGGAGATATGGCATCTTCAATTACATTTATTCACATACTTTTCTGTATCAGGAATGGTATATTATAATTTTATTTCACTGAGCTTTCTGTTCAGGAAACATCATAGTGCTCTTGGTAGTGACATGTTTCCGATTTTAAGTTTTTGCAGCCACCAGGCTAACAAGATGTTGGCTGTGTAAAGGAAATAATTCCTCAATAATTTATTCTGTTGTCCTGTTAGTTTGAAAAGTTAAGGGAAAAAAGCAACTGTAATAAATCAATGGATGACTAGCCCTAAATGTTCTTCTGTGTTTAGCAGGAAATAGACTATAAACTTAAAATCATCCACAAAAGTGATTTTTCTTGCATCCATTTAATTGTTCCTGAAAAACTGTTCCTAAAAAAGAAATCATGCATTCAGCATATCACTACATAAAGCATTAATAATGTCTGAATTTAAACAATTTCACTTAAAATGGAACCAGAAAATCCAAATTTTACATTCATATTGCAATCCTTTTGTGACATACTTCCACGCTAGAATATGTGTATTTTAAAGATTATCACTGAAATCCTGTGTACTTCACTGAAAATTGTGTGCTACATATATGAGAGGACCAAAGGTCAAGAAAGAATTGTCCTCCTTTTGAAACTAAGCTGTGATAAAGACCAAATGAAAAAGTTCATCTGAAACTGCCCAATCATCCTCTCTAGTGGACTTTTAGAGTCACTGAGGTAACAGGCTAGAAAGAATGATGATGGTGGTTGGTGGTATGAAGGGCTACTTTAAAACCCTGCCTCCCCAACCCAACTATTAATAGATCAACTGACTGAAAGAAATTCAGTTTACAAAAATCTAGGGTACAAGCAGAGGCATGCTGGTAAATGTTTTAACTACTTCTTGGGGGGGGGAATTTGCACAAATTTTTAAACTTGATCTGAATTATTAACATTTTCTCCATCACCTTCATAAGTCTAGGCAATCAACAAAACAAATAAATCAAACCCTATTTTGTAGCATTTACCAATTTCTGAGACATAAATGTTCACAGTGAAATTTTAACAGTTGGCTCTCATGAGCCAGTTTGAATTTGCACCAGCATACCCCTGGTACACAGTTTTCAAATGCAAAGCATCCTTTGCTAACATATGTAGACCTAAGTCATACCTTGAGTTCATCAATTTGTTGCTTCACAGTTTCCAGATCAGTTCCAATGGGTGACATTGAAGCCAATTTACCACCAGCAATATCTACCCAGTCAAATATTGCCTGAAAAATACATTGCATATACATTGTTATTGGTGCATGTGAAACTGCTACAACATTGGGTACTACCATTAATTATTAAGAAGTTTAATCTACTAAATAAGGAAAGTCCTTTATAAACTATAAAACTCTATAAAACTGTTGATTAAAATCAACAATCATTACGAATACTAATATATTCAAGTGACTATGACTATAAACTGAAACGGATGACATCAGCAATTCTGCACCCATATCATGTATCATTTTAATTGGAAGATTGTCACTAAACAGGTCCCCAGAATCTGATGAAGAGCTTCTTTTGAAATGCAAATTTTTAAAAAAGAGAAGCTTTTACAAGTCCAACAAGAAAAAAGAAGAAAAATATACATGCTATATCACACTTGTCTGTTTTAAGAGCAGTCTTTTGAGATATGTTTAAAGTCCAATTTTTAAAGTCAACAGATAGCTGAATAAAGCATTTTTCAAATGAGTCAGTCGTGGGCAAGAGTTTTACTGATGAGTTCAAACAACACTGAGAAAAAACATGCTCTGTCACAGTTCCAGCTCGCATTTGTTATCTGGGATAATGTCAAAAACTAGCATATATGAACAATTAGCATTAAAAGCATTTGAATTGCAACAAATAGCACTCAAAATCTTTTGTTTTTTATTTTTCTTTCTCACTCATATAAACACTGAATAAAAGGCTGAACTCGTTATGAGTGGTGAATTAAGAATCAGAGAAGTCTGCACTTAATTTTAACAAAGTTGGCAGCAATGTATGTTAGTCACTGTTATTCTTTATTGGCTTCTTCCTATATGCCTAAAAAGATGCTAAGGTCACCCAGATGTTCAATCTTAAAAAAAAAACAAAACCACCTTTTCTTGGCCCCTCTAGCCTATCCAGCTATGATGCCATCTTTCTTCTTTCCTTTATTTCTAAATTTCTTGGAAAAAGTTGTCAATATCTAATGTTTCTTCTTCCTGACTGTTTTAACCCTTTGCAATCTGACTTATGACCCTACTACACAACTGAAATTGCTTTCTCAAAGATCACCAACAATTCCTTAAACATCAAATCCAATTCCTTTTTTAATTTGCCAACTTTCTTGACATTTCTGCAGTTTTTTACATTGCTGATTCTACACCATAATCTTTTGGTTTGCTTTCTACCTCTCAAACTGCTCCTTTTCTGCCTCTCCAACTTCTTCCCAATTCCTTTAAGTTAATGCGTCAAATAATATTTCTATACAGATGGATTCCAAATTTACATATTTTCCATCTGAGATTAAGATCTTCATGGCCAAGTGTTTATAGAATATGTCCACCTTGTCCCTTTGGCACGTCAAATTCAATATAACTGAAACCAAACTCATCGTATTTTCCTTACTTCACTATTCATATTGTTATTATTACTATTCACTGTCTTTCATGTTCATCTTTTTTCCTATCCTCTCCCTCACAATTCAAATATAATCACTTATTGGGTCTTGTTAACTCCATTTCTGTAAGTAATATCTTTTTTAATCACTCCCCTCTTCTCTATTCATACTGCAACCACCACAGCACATGGTTCTGATTAATACCATTTCTCATCTGTTGCTGTTCAATTGTTTCAATTGTGTCCAATTCTTTGTGACCCCATTTGGGATTTTCTTGGCAAAGATACTGGAGTAGTTTGCCATTTCCTTCTCCAGCTCACTTTATTGATTAGGAAACTGGAAGAAACAAAGTTAAGTGACTTGCCCAGGGTCACATAGCTAGTACCTGAGGCAGATGTGAGCTCATGAAGATGAGTCTTCTTGACTCCAAGCCCAGTGTGCTATCCACTGCTCCTTCTGGCTACCCAACATTCTCATACCTACCTGAATCTTCCTAACTTTTTTTTGCATCTCCATTCTTCTACCTACAATCTATCTTCCATAATGCTGATGGCAAAAACTTTTGTCATATATAGATTTGGTCATTTCATTTCTAAGTTCAAAAATCTTCATTGGCTGCCTGCTTGGCATTCTAGGCCTTTTAAATCTTGGAACTACCCTATTTCATAATATTCCATGCACTTTATGCTCTAGCCAAGCTGCCCTCTGATGACAAATTTTACTGTCACATCATTATCCTTTGATCACATAAGGCCTGATATCTTCTCCAGGGCCTAGAACAATACTATACACAAAAAAGTCATTTAAGGAACTTGTTTCATCATATTGTTGTTTTATCACACTTTGTAATTATAGGTACTCTTTCCCAGCTCCATTTGTATCCAGTTATATACAAAAGAGAAATATATAGTCTCTGACAATTAAAAAAGGAGATGAAACCTCTGTCACTAGCTTCACTAGCACTGAGCCAGAGTTAACTGGACAGGGCATTCATAGAATTTTGTTTCTCATAATTTTCTTTCCTACAGTTATTTCATCTCAAACTAATTCTTGAAAAAACAAACTTGAAAAGTGCAAGGCAGAGAGAGAAGTGATTGTTCTCACCTGTGCTTTAAAAAAAAATAGCTACTTGATGATGTCAACATGTCCAAAAAGGATTTTCTATATGGCAAGATGGATGGGGGAACTGAATGACTGACAAACTGTCAGGAAACCACACGAAATAAAGGGTACTAAGGTACAGGTGTGGGCCGAAAGGAAGTTGTTTAGAAATTACACAGAAAACTCTCAAAATAAGGAGTGACTTGGAAATAGTTATCAAAAATGAATTGAGTAATCATTGAATGTGCAAGAAATAACCAAAATATAGAACTGTATATATAGATATGTCTACCTATCTATGTGTGTGTGTGTGTGTGTGTGTGTGTGTGTGTATGTGTATCTATATCTATATCTATACTGTGTATATAGATCTGTGGGTCTTGGAGTGAGCAAGACCAAGATAAAGTCCCATCTTTGACAATATACTGGCTGTGTGATCCTGGACAAGTCACTTGACTTCTCAATGCCCCAGGCTACTCTCTTAAGACTATGCTGTAAAACAAGTAGTAGCCTGCATTAATAGAAAGAGTTTCCTCACTGGGAGTGCCCCAAAAGTCTAGTTCAACAGCTCTGTCCCTACAGGAAAGGGAAGAACGATGCTTTTTTTTAAAAAAATACAAGATTCTAACAAGCTTAGGTTTGAAGTAACAGAAGAAAATATATTTGAATGCACAAAAAAAATCAGCTCACCTGTAATTCAATTTTACATTATTATTTACTAGATATTATTTATTCATCGCATTTTATTTTGCCTAAGTTAAAAAAAAATCAGATTGATTTCCTGATTCTATTGTCTGATGTTAAACTACATTTTCAAATACCGCACTTTAAGAAGGCATTTTTAAAAAAAATTTTGAAAATATCTGTCCTATATAGAAGTTCAACTATGTATGTATAGCTGTTGTTTGTCATAACACAAACTGAATTTAGCTTTTGAAATTGTCAAAAAAAATAGCTGTTCAAAGGTAGAAACCGATGTAATAAAGTAACAGAGACAAGCACAGTAACACCTTTTATCTCTCTCTCTCTCTCTCTCTCTCTCTCTCTCTGTGTCACACACACACACACACACACACACACACACACACACACACACACACACACACACACACACACACATACACAATGATTTGTAGATAAACAAACAGGATTTCCACAGCTGAGGCTTAGCAGATGAGCTTCAATCACTTTACCTGAAGTCCATCTTGGTATTGTACAGCTGTCTGCATTGCATCATCCAGTCTGTCTACCCTGTCCTTCCATGCTTTGTTTAGAGAATCCCAGGCTGAATTCAGCTATAATATAAAGGTTGGAATGGTTTTAGCCATACTTTTGATACACAGTATTCTAAAAATAGTCTAATATAAGGGCAGAAAATATGCCAAGCATGATACCTCATCTATACTCTTGTTGACAATAGGTTTATCAGGTTCTCCACAGGCAGCTATCAGCTCAGAACCAAGGTTCACAACCATATCAAGCTCTTCTTGCAATCCATCTATTTCTTCTCTTATAACCTAAACAGAGAAATTAAAACCTTAAATTTTCAGGCAAAGCATTGCTGAAGAGTGCTAGAAAGATATACAGTTTTTCAATGCAGATTGACATAAATAAGGACTTCAATTAATATACATGAGATAAAATCAACACAAACTGATTCTTTATGTGAGAGAAACCTCAACCCACATAACCCTGTGCAAAGCACTGTCCTAAAGTGGAATCTGGTTGGACGGAAATATTTAAAACATACAAGAGGGTCTTGAACCCTCACAAACACGTGAAAAAAAGAAACAGATGGCAACACTAAACATGGACCTTGGCTAGGCTGGGAGCATTAGTAACATGCGGTTGGTAGTCGTGCGGATATTGGATGTGGTCTTGAGAAAGAGGGAACTTGGGAAGATTTGAACCAGAGAAATGGGAGATTGTCGTAGTAAACGGCATTTGTGACTTGAGCTCAGGTATCCCATCTACATTTAGAAGATGATGAGAAAAAACTTTCTCAAAACCTGCTCAGAATTTCAATGATCATGCCAATACAGGGAAGCCTGGATACCTATGCTGCTGCTGTTCCAATAACCCAGACTTCCTCCTTGAGCTCTTTAGTCTGACATTACACAGATAAGCCAGACATAAATACTGGTCCAATGGTGCTTTTTCACTTCCTGCTGTGAATGAATTCTACACAGCTCCTGCTGAGGCAACAACAGGGAAGCAGTTGGGAGAAGTACAGAGTAAGAGTTATTTGTTGCATGACTTTAATTCCTTGTTATTTGACTTGCGTTCTATTTTAAGGAAATGTTCTACATTACTATGTGGATGTGTATAACACTAGGCAAAATTCAGAAAGAATTTGGGGGCATGTGGAAAAGAGAATATAGATAGCCTTTAGATAATTGTCAGTCCGGCAACAGACATTTATTAAGTGCTTACTTTGTTCCAGAGGAAGTGCTAAGTGCTAAGCATAAAAAAAACCAAAAGGCGAAAGAAAAACCCTGACCTTTAAGAGCTCACAATATAATACATTAAAGAGAGCTGAAAAATGGGGTGGGATAATTATGATGTGTCTGTCGTGGGCTGCCTTCTTAAATAGAGGATCTGGGAAGAGCTCTCTGTTGTCTATCCTCTACCCTCTCCAATCAGAGGGAGGAAAGGACCCAAGGGGTTAGGGGTTTTAAAGAGGTATGAGTTTCACACCTGCATGCATTCAATGGCACAGCATTCAAAAAACAACATAACACATAGAGACTATTGGATTACACAGCTGAGTGGTGTTCCTTTTAAAGTTCACAATAATGTATCAACTGCAGAAAATTAACAATTAGGTAAATGAAAAACAAATCGACAAAATGGTAGTTTACACTGACAGAAGAGAACAATAAGCCAAAATCTTGGATATGTTGCATTATCATTTTCATAGTCAAATATCCATTTCCTGAATCTGAAATTGTTGGTGATATCAATTGCTGCAGGATCAATATCAAATCTCAACCTATCATAATAGTTGCAAATATTAACCAGATTAACTCACTGCTCATGTAATTTTTTCTCAAGTGTATTCAAATTTAGTCCCCCCACCCAAATTCTTCCTATTTCACAAATGAATGTTTTACCTCTGCAGCTTCTTGCTGCTGTTTCACTACTGAGGGGTCAATGCCAGGTCCTTCTAGTTCCCGGATGAAATCCTGGGTATCTTTAGTTGTAACTACTAGTGACATGTGATCACACCAGAATTTTTCAGCTAGTTCCATCACATCCAGCAGTTTAGCCTCCCGCTCCTCTGCCAAAGTGTGTATTTCCTCCCATATGCGGATCATTTGATCAAGTTTATCCTGAACAGCTATAAAGAAAAAAAAATCAGTCAAAGATATAAGCTAGAAATTCATAGATTTAACCCCACAGTAATATTACCTAACTTGAGCTCACAGTGAAAGAAAAATGTGACAAATTAAGTAGCTACTGAACTCTGTATATGTCTAAACCTTGTCTAAAACCAGGAAAACTACAAGGATTGTAGCAGTAGGACTCCTGGGTCACAGAGTTCATTAAACAATGATGAAATGAACAACACTGTGGAACTAATGTTGTCTCCATAGGACTACTGTTGCTTGTCCAGATCTAGGCTTCTCCTGCTGAATCCATAAGCATTTATTAAGAATCTACCAACCACATGCCAGGAACTGAGCTAGGCACTGGGAAAACAAATCCAAACAGTCCTAGTCCTCAGGAAATTTATATTCCATCAGAATAGTCAACACTAACATGCACGTATATACAAAATAAGCACACTTTGGAGTACAGGTAATAAAAGTATTTTAGGGGAGAGGCATTAGTAGATAGCGCAGATCAGGAAAAGCTTCATGTAGGAGGTGGTATTTGAGCTGAACTTTGAAGAAAATGATCTATTCTAAGATGCAAATTGAGAAATGAGTACATTCCAGGCATGGAAGATAACACACAAAGACAGAGGGAGAATGGAATGTTTTATGTGAAGGACAGCAAGAAGGCCAATTTGGCTAAAATGTAAGAGAGGGAATAAGGTATGATCAGGATGAAAAGGCAGACTGAGGCCAGGTTATGGGGCAAATAAGACATCTAAGGCCATATCAGTTCAGGATGAAGCCACTACATTTACTTGGAACTATTTCAGATTTAGCCACACAATAAGTCAAAGAGTCATCTACTTAATATATCCTAATCTTTACCATCTTATAAAAATGTACTGATACTATGTATTCCCTAAAAGGTAAAATGGTAGGTAGTTGTGGGTTTCAGGTCATCTAGATTACATTCTCTTTCTTTTGACTAAAAGTAATACTTACAAGTCAGCTAAGTAGTTTTATTTGAAGGCTATAGGCCGTGGAATCTGAGTTAATTTTTATAAATGTTATCTGGGCTATCAAGGAAATAAATTTTCAAACTTGGCCTTGTTAGCACCATGTTATAAACAAATGAGTTACATGATCCAGACATTGTCTTTGTACAGAGAAATTCGTGGGATTTATTAGACTGACTTTGCAACAACTGAGTTTTAACACAGCAACTGTGTGTGTGTGTGTGTGTGTGCAGAGGCCCTGTGTTCACTAAAACCTCTTTTTGAAGATAGTAACATATTAAGACTAGTATTTGTCATGCAAAAAGACTATTAACTCACCAAGTGGCCAAAGAGCAAATTGTTTGTAAAATAAAGTTTACTATGACAGGTTCAACAAAATAGTACCTTTGGCAGATATATCTTTGTCAGTACCCTCAGAACGAGCAATCATGTCCTCTCCACGCTGTTTAAGAGTTTCATATACTGGTTGTAGTTTCTCCATATCTACTGACACATTCTTGTTTTCACTGATTTGTTCTTTAATCTTCTCAACCTCAGCTGAGATTGAAGGTGGTTGTCTCAAACGTTCAACAATGCGCTTTAGGCTCTCAAGGGTCTGATCTATTTTGTCATGGAACTTTTAGAAAAAAGAGCATGAAATAATGAAGTTGGATAGCGAGAAAATGATCAGGAAAATATCAAACATAAAATTTTATTTCTTACTTCTTTTAGCTCACATAAACATAGTAAGAAAAGAGCAGTCAAAAACAACTTTAAGAAAAAATCCTTATTTCACAGGATAATAGATCTCAAGTTGAATCCCTATAGTTGTAATTTAACACATTCTAAGAATGATCCTACAGAATTCAAGTAAAACTCTGTGTGTGTGTGTGTGTGTGTGTGTGTGTGTGTGTTGCCATGGTCATTATCCAGGGGGCCAATCTATTGGCAATAAGTCTCCTCACGCTTTGCTAAATTGGTCTTTAAATAGCAGGCTCAGGTTGCTGCAAAAACTTGTTACAACTTATGAATGGCCTTCAAAAACCCAGGGTCAAGTCTATGCCACAATGAGATATCAGGGGCATATGTTTTCATTTGCTTGGTTTACGTCAAGTGTGGGGACTAGAGACCTCAAGGTCACATGTGGCCTTCTAGGTCCTCAAGTGCGGCCCTTTGACTGAATCCAAGCTTCACAGAATCCCCTTTAAAAAAGCATTTTTTCTTTAAAACTTGGACTCAGTCAAAAGGTCACATCCCAGGACCTAGAAGGCTACGTATGTCCCTGAGGCCACAAGTTCCCCACCCCTGGTTTGTGTTCTTGAGAAGTATTAGGTCACCAGATAATTGTGTAGCTCTCAGCTTTGCATAGCTTTTGTCCCATTTTGAGAATGGGATGCATACTCTAGGGCAGTAGTATCAAATTCAAATACAAAAGATACCTACATGCCACATATTGACTCAGAAAACCACAAATTAACACCATCTATGGTGTATTGTATTTTTATTTGTTCTGTTAAATATTTCCCAGTTACATCTTAATCTGGTCCAGGTAGAGTGAATTTGTATCTCTACTCTTATTATCACTGGCTCTTCTACAATCAACTAAGGAAACTGACAAGATATACAAATGACCTAGTAGATCATTTATTTACCTGTTTGCTTTATTGTTTAAATTAAATTTTGGAAGAAAGTAAATTCAGTGTCTAATTGTGTCCTACTATACTTACAAGTTGTTTGACTGCAGTATTCTACTAATAGGTGATTTTGGTATTATATAAACAAAACTATTTCATTAAACATGATTATTTACATGTGTCCAGTTTTGATATTTTTAAAAAGATGTTGGAAATGCCCCCAATTCTGCATTTCCTAATCTGTAAAGGACAAAAAATTGCTCACTAACGTGTGTATGTGAGAGGAATAGGATCTTTTCTAATTTACTTTTGAAACTCTGTGGTTCATATAGCTCTTTTTACATTAAATATTTTGAATACTTTGTATCAATTTTGATCACATACAATTCAACACACCTATAAATTTCGTCATTCACCAGTCTGGGGTTTCCCTCAGGGTTAAAGAAAACTTTGGGGCAGCTAGGTGGTACAGTGGTTAGAGCACTGGACCTAGAGTCAGGAGGACCTGAGTTCAAATCTGGCCTCAGACACATAACAATTACTAGATGTGTGACTCTGGGCAAGTCACTTAACCCCAACTGTCTCACCAAAAAAAAAAAAAGAAAGAAAAGAAAGAAAAAGAAAACTTCATAAATGATTGAAAAAAATATTTTTACTATGCCCTAATTATAGAGAAAATTTTAAAAATAGAATATTAAATATGTATATTTTCAAATATGCCAGCTTGAATAAGTATTTCTTATTACTTTTTCCACCCAACTTTCTCACAGATGAGTGAAATTTTGTTCTTAAAATATTACATGTTATTTAAACTATCCCAGGGGTCAATATAGTGTCTTACAAGTGACAGATTTTGAATAATATTTTGATGATGATTATGATATACGACTGAAATCAGTGACTTAAAATATTTCTTAACTATGAAAATAGGCAAAACACGTGAAGGCTGGAATAAAAGGGAACTTGTATTCCAAGGACATCAGCATTTGGAGATGGTGTAGAAGAATAAATTTCAATTTATACTTAATCTATCCAGGAAGCTGTGCGTCTGTTCTCTGCTGCTTGAAGCAACTCAATAATATTTTTAATGCAAATGGTTACCTGGGTAGATTGAGAAATGGCTTCATCCAGGGCCACAGCTCTCTTTTTGACATCTTCCTTAATTTGACTGTAAAGGGCGTCAGCTGCCATGTATTTCTCTTGGATTAAAAAGCCTTCTCCTGGGCTCAGTTCCAGTAATTGGGGCCCAGTTTTGTTCATCTTATCTATATGAGGCTTGTGTTCAGCAATCAACTCTCGCAGTTGCTATAACAAACCAAAGAACTTATCAGTATCTTAGGCTTACACCTCCACAATACAGCTGTCTGCACTCCTGACACATCCAACTGGCAAATCATTCTAAACAAATACCCTCCCATCACAAGGCATTTTACAAATTATGTTTCATGTAACTCCCAGCCAGGGAATGACAACCCTATAATGATGTTTAAACAAGTCTGGTCAATGGAAAGCCCTTTTTAGAAATAGAATAAAATGCTTAGGGAGATAAGGAATACCAGTTGTCTACTTCATACCAAAACCATTAAAAGTTTCAGCCTTTGATATTTTTAAGGGTTGTTAGGAAAAATGAACTTAAAATTTTCAGAGAAGGAAGAAGCTTCTTCCTTTCTTCAAGACATTCACCTCATCACAAATGGAAGAGGGGATTATGCCAGTTAGTGGAGTTCTACCTTTCTCATTCAGTAGGTTATCTTGATATCTTGGCATAACTCAATGCAAAGGCAATAGCTACCTATTATTGATAAATTTAAGATAAAAACTACTGTATTTTCTTAAAGATCCAGTGAACTTGCCACAGTTTCTGAAAGTTCAGTGCTTTACAGAGAAGAAAATAACTTGACTGATACAAAATACCATTACTATGGATGATATTAAAGAATGAAGGGAAGAATTAAGGGAAGAAAAGAATCTAAGTGGCTATCTACTTAAGGACAAAAAACTGCTCACTAATAGGATCTTTTCTAATCTACTGTTGAAACTTTGTGGTTCATAAAGCTCTCTAAACCTACCTCATGTGATTCATGGTGGTACTATCAAGGAATCAAGTAGTTAAGTACATACTATGGGTTAGGCACAATGCAGTTCCATTTCTGAATCAATCAACAAGTAACTATTAAGTGCTTACCAGGTGCCAGGCCCTGGGCCTGGAGTCTAGGGATATAAAAACAATGAATGAAACAGTCCCTACTCACAAGGCACCTGCTCACATTCTAACATGAGAGAAGCTATGTGGTGCTGTCTTGCCAAAAGCCCCGATCACTTCATTTGAGTATCTCTTTGTATACTTTTCCATCAAAAAACCATTCAATTTTATATATGCAGAATAAGATCCCATGTCTTCTCCTAGGCTAGAGTTCATACATTTAAATAGATTACTGGTTCTCCTTCTTTGTTGCAAGGGAAAGGTCTATACAAAGGAAAAATGTCTCCCCACACACAAATGATTGGTAGTAAAAATAAATCTTTTAAAAATCTCAATATATTATTTTCCTGTATTACTACAAGTGTAGTAGGATGGATAATTTTCAAGGAAAAGAAAGATACATGTGGTGCAGCACATTCTATCACAACAATTCAATATCACATAGCCTATGATGAGTGCATATACTGTGAGTATTTTCTGTCCTGGATGACATTAAAGTAGCTCCTGGAAGTTACTACTCACTTTATTAAAATGGCAGAAGGTTAGCACTGATTCTGGAGTCTAAAGATGGGTTCAAATCCCATCTCTTATGGTTACTATTTATGTGACCTTGGGCAAGTCACTGCTTGATTTCCCTGGCTCTCAGTTTCATCTGTAAAACAAGATGATCTCTGATAGCCTTTCTAGTTCTCTATTTATGATCCTGTCAGCCTGTGAATATAATATTGCTGAGACTATTCTGAAATGAAAGTCAACAGTTTAGATAATTTGAAGCATTGCCCAAATAGCAATTCGGTACATTTTTAGTCAGTCTTCAATTTCTTTTTCAATACTTAAAGAAATTCATGGACAATAGAGAAAAAAGTCCCACTATAAAATGTATTCCAATTTAATACTAACTTTCAGGGATTCACAACAACTTGCATGTGTACTTTTTTTAGTTTTTAGTTTAGAAAGTCAAATACAAAAATCCATTGATTGGGGGTTCAGATACCTTCATGTGTCTACCCAATTTTCTAGACTTCTAACTTACACCTCCCTGACCACTTCTCCTTTTGCCTGCTGAAAGTCCTTTGCAATCTGATGACACAGGCTGCCTTGTTCCTTGAACCAGACTTCCATCTCACCACTCCAAGCATTTTAACTAGCTGTCCCCTAGCCTGGCATGCTCTCCCTCCTCATCTGCTTCTACTGTTTTGCCTGGCTTCCTTCAAGTCACAACTACAATCTCAGCCTCTACTAGAAATCTTTCCCAATACCTCTCAAAAACTTAATTAAAATATGTGCACATGAAATCTGTTGAACTGCCAGTCATCCAAATATTTTATGTCCATAAATAAACTTTGCATACTTTGTAGTCCTACTAAGCTATCTGGGAACAATTTCATGAAACTCATATTCAACAGTCAGATAAACTGTACTTTAAAGTATTCTGACTTCTAACAAGTTAATTTCTCCCTGGAAACAATCTTCATTGCTGATATATAGCTTATTTTTAAAAATACACAAAATGAATGTCATACATTGAAACTATGACATAATATAGGCTGAGTTTAATTTTTCAAGGAAAAACTGTCATCCTAAGCAGTATATGTTGTATAGATCTTGGAGAACAACCGGAAACACCAGTCTGTTAAATGCAACAAAAACATTTCAAGTTCAAATTCGGAAGAATTGGATTTACCCCGCCCTCTCTGCATAAGTACTCACTCTCTCTCTCTCTCTCTCTCTCTCTGTCTCTCTCTCTCTCTCTGTCTCTCTCTCTCTCTCTCTCTCTCTCTCTCTCTCTCTCTCTCTCTCTCTCTCTCTTCCTTCCTACCCTACTATGTCATAATTTCTGGGTGACTGAAATGCATTTACAGACAATATTTCAAATATATGAGGGAAGTACAATGTAGTTTTATATGTATTTAAAACAAGGCATTTTACTACCTTGTAAATTAAAACATCATTTATAAGTTTATGTTCATTTTTATCTTGCTATATTCTTCTTCAAGGGAATGAGACTTCAAAGAAAGTTCTATACTTCTATTAGCTCTATGAGCCACAAAAGACCCCCCTCCCCCCCAAGTGTGTCCTCTGTTTATACTCTGCTACTCTGTTTTCATCCATCTTGATCATCTTTTTCCATAAATTTGTTTTCATTAATGTTCTTTATTTTGAATTTGTTTTGACACTGAGATCTAACCATTAAAATAATCCTTTAAAATCTTTCCAAGATCAACGGCCCTACCAGTGCACCATCTCTTTCATCCATTTCTGATCTTCATTTACTTTTCTAGATGGACCTAATTAATGACTACATACAAAATGAAAAAAAAAAACAATCCAAGTATATAAATAAGAAGTTCGTTTTTCAGCAACACACTGAAATGGAAATCTATTTTTTCTGCTAAAATACTTGATTTATTTTGCATTTCATTCAACAGAAGCTGCACTGACATGACCCAGAGAGCGCAGCCTACCCATGCCAACCTGCTCAATGTATTTTATCACGCAGTAACAGACAAACTAATATGGGCATATACATCATCATAAAGTCAAGAACATCACATCCTCATCATGTAGGATATATAGGATAAGAAACATCATAAAAAAGCAGCATCTTCCTTAAAAAGAGAAAGTAATATTCTCTTACCTTGTTAGTATCTCAAATGAGATAATAATTATAAAGCAATTAGCACAGCAACTGGCACACAGTTAGCCCTATATAAATGTTGTTGTTAATATTATTATTAATTATATAAAATTTACCCGATGTTCTTCCTGCTGTTGTTTTAAAGTTTCATATTCAAGAGCTGGAGCTGGGAGCTGAGAGATGACCCTTTGTATTTCTGTCAGCCATGGCCAAAGTTCTTCATACGTTTCCCAAAACTGGTTGACCAGAGATTGTGCCTGTTCCAGTTGAAGGTACCGCTCTGAGTTGATTTGGCAGATATCATCATAGTTCTTCAATACATTATCCAATTTTTTCTAGAAAACAAAATTATAAAATTATGTGCTTACCCAGCCAGGACTTAAGGTAATTAGGAGTTTTTTTCACTTGCTAAAACTTAGAATTCATATTTAATTTGTAATGTAATATTTTAAAGCTAGAAGCTACTTCAGCGATCGTATAGTTCAACCTCCCTGATTTACAGATGAAAAGCCTAAGACTCAGAAAAAGGAAATGATTTGCCAGGTTCATACACAGATTAAGAGGCAAAAATCTGCACTAGACGCAGGCATCCTGACTCCAAATTCAGTACTTTCTAGTACATACGCTATATGTCTTTTTTAAGGAAGGCTGCAAGGTGCTTTGCAAACCTGAAAAACAAAAGCCTAATCCCCACTTCCAGATCCACTTTAATCTGGTCCTAAATTACCTTTCTAGTCTTATGTCATGTTCCACTTAACCCCAATCACATTAGCTTGCAATAAAATTGGACCACTCTCGGTGAAGCATGCATGCTCTCCTTTGTCATCTCCATTCTTTTGTTGATATCATTCATACCTGGAAGTGATTCCCCCTAACTGCATTCATGGGTATTTTTGGTCATCAAAGACCAAACTTGCACTGGATCCTTTTAAGGTCTCCAGTGATCACCCTACCACTATCTCCTTCCACAAATTTCCCAAAGCAAATCACTGTACTTCATTTCTTCACACTATGCCCTTCTATATTTATGTATATGTTTTATTTGCCTAGTCCCACTATCAGGAGACTGTAAACTTGAAAGAAAAAAAACTTCAGTATGCTATATCTCTGTGTTGCTATTATCAGTAGATAACAATACCTCTGTATCCTAAGGTACTAACACAATTCTTTTTTAAAAAATATATTTATTTTTAGTTTTCAACATTCACTTTTATAAGATTTTGAGTTCTAAATTTTCCCCCCTCCTTTTCCTTCCTCCTCCCCAAGCCAGCATGCAATCTGATAGAGGCTATACACATACAATGAAATTAAACATATTTCCACATTAGTCATGTTGTAAAAAGGAATCAGAACCAAAAGGAAAAACCATAAGACGGGGGGAAAAAAGGAGAAAATAGTATGCTTCAATCTGCATTCAGATTCCCTAGTTCTTTCTCTGGATGTGGATAGCACTTCCCATCTTTAGTCTTTTGGAATTGTCTTAGATCATTGTATTGCAGAGAAAAGCTAAGTCTATCAAAGTTGGTCATCTCACAATGTTGCTGCTACTGTATATAATGTTCTCCTGGTTCTGCTCACTTCACTCAGCATCTGTTCACGTAAGTCTTTCCAGGTTTTTCTGAAATCTGCCTGCTCACCATTTCTTATGGAATAATAGTATTCTATTACATTCATATACAACAACTTGTTCAGCCATTTCCCAATTCACGGTCATCCCCTCAATTTAAATTTTATTTCTATGCTGATGATTGTCAAATCTACCTATCCTCCTCCAATATTTTTGCTAACTTCCAACCTTGCATCTCCAACTACACATTTCAGACATCTCAAACTGGATGTCCGGGAGATATCTTAAAGCAAAATTGTCAAAAAGAAAACTTATTATCTTTCCCCAAACCTCCACACCACCACCTTCCCTGTTACTATAAAGGGTAATACTATACTTCCTAATCCTTCAGATGTTATCTTTCATTGATCTCTCTCTCCTTCTCTCTCTGTCTATCTCTCTCTCTCTCTCTCTCTCTCTCTCCCCCCTCCCCACCTTCCCCCCATATACAATCTGTTGCTAAGCCCTATCAATTTCATCTTCACAACATCTCTGTAATACACCCCTTCCTCTCTTCTGACACTGCCACCACTTTGATACAGGCTGTTATCATCTCACACCTGGACTACTACAAAAGCCTGCTGGTTGGTTTGCCTGCCTTAAGCCTCTTTCCACTCAGATCCATTCTCCTTTCAGTCACCAAAGTGATTTTCCTAAAGCCTGACTACCATCCCCCCAACCCACCACCAATCACTATAAACTCTTGTATCTCTCTATCATTTACACCATCAAATGCATATTCCTCTGTTTGGAGTCCAAAGCCCCTCATAACCTAGCCTCCTCTTACCTTTCCTGACTTCTTACATCTTATTCCCCACTACATACACTTAAATCTAGTGTCATTGCTCCCCTGGCTGCTCCAGGGAACAAAACATTCCATTTTTCTGGGCATTTTTTCTGGCTTCTCCCCATTCCTAAAACATTCTCCCTCCTCACCTCTACCTACTGACTTTCTTGGTTTCCTTTAAGTCATAACTAAAATCTTACCTTCTCCAAGAAAACTTTCCCAACCTCTCTTAATTCTAGTGCCTTCCCCTCATTTACTTCTGATTGTTTATACACATTTGTTTGTTTGTGGTTTCTCCCATTAGACTGTGAGCTCCTTGATGGTAGGGACTTTCTTTTGCTCTTTTGTTATCCCCAGCACTTAGCACAGTGCCTGGAGCATAGGGGCAATTAATAAATATTGATTGAGGTGCTTAAAAATGTTGAATTAGATTGGTTGAAAATCTTACAACCATATTTTAAAATATCCTTCACTTATGGCCTAGAAAATAATAGTCATAGATATACCTACAGCAACATCTACCGCTTCGTGAGAAATGTATAAGTTATTTTTAAAAGGCAATTTCTAAGAGTGAGCACTGCTTGGAAGAATTTATTAAAGACATAAAAATCAAGATAAGACATTAGGTTACAGACTTTCCCCTGTGAAGTTTTCTGTGCTATTATTAGACATAAAGAGGATTTCAGTTCAAATTCTGATCTATACCTTAGAACATATTCATAAAGCCCAAAGGAAATCCCAAATACTCTAGAAAGTGGTAATAATGACTTGATGCTACATAAAAGGAAATATCTGCATGGCAACTAGATTCACTTATTCCTAATCCTTTCCTAAAGTTATTTTTATTTTTTTCTAACTAATAACTAAAACACTAAATTTCTACTTTAAAAAAATCACTAACCTAAGGAGGTCACTGAAGACTTTAAAAAACAAAAGCAAAAACAAAAAAAGCAAGGTGTGATAGCATGATGAAGACAGTGACTAAATTTGTGATTTCATTTATACAGAGAACTCCTCTGCTACCTAAACTCCCTCTACCATTGCAGGTCAACATCCTTTCTGCTGCTTTGAGTCTTAAGAGAATTGCCTTGGGCTCTAAGAGATTAAATGATTTGCCTAGGGCCACAAAGCACTTATTTGTCAGAGGGGAGATTTTAACTCAGGTCTTCCATACTTCAAGACCAACTCTTTAACTATTATGACATACTGCCTCTCTCATACGACCATAGAGACTGGCATATGGACAAAACTTGTGGTTTGATTGGCACAGGAAACTCCCAGGTAAGGAATTCATTTCTGCCACCTTCTCCACAACTTACAGCTTTAGAGAGTGGTCTAAACCACTAGGCATTTAAGTGACTTGCTCAGGGTCATACAGACAGTGTATTTCAGAATTAGAACTTGAACCTGAGCCTTGAATCTGGTTTTGAGGTAGACTCCCTATCCATTATGCAATACTTTAAATGAAGTCACGAAGTAGAATATACTTAAAGCTATACTGCAGAAATACAAATACCCAAAGTTTTGGACAAATAAAAATGATACCTTTGCAGTGTCAAATTTCTGAAGTATTTTCACATATATGACCTGGTTTGATCCTTGCTCATCTGATAGGACAGCTAGGGCAAGTACTATTTTACAAATGAGGGATTTGACCACAGTTACACCATTTGTAAGAGCCAGGGTTCGAACACACAACACTGCTTATCAAGAGGAAATTACAGAAGGTGAACATGCTAAGAGCCCTCCCTTGGAAAGATTTAAAAATACTCAAAGCTGAATCTTTAAAAGAACAAAGGACAGATCTAATAAAAAGGGGGGTGGGAATCTTTGTTTTGGATAGGAAGGCATGGGACAGTACAATAAAAGTCTGCATATTATTGTAACTGCTATACAAATTCATCAGAGAAGACAAATATAACAGAGAAAATCTCATTTTAGGAATTTGTCAGTTTTTTTCAGCATTTTTTGCCAGAAGAACTAAAATACTTAGTTTTGTCAGACCACCCAGATGTTATCTTATTTTAGCTGAATGTCAGTTTTAAACACACTTGGGGCCAGTTTTGTAATCCTTTTTTTTTTAAACAACTTTCCTTTTTATTTAAAAAGAGCAATCACTAAAGGACAAAGGGCTTCCTTTTCTAAGCATTCAGTTGATTGGGCCCACTTAAGCCATGTCTGAACTTCTTCATTAGCTTTTTCATGTTATTGAAAAGATAAATTTTTGATAACACTTTTGCTCAAGATACTCAACTCTACTTGAAGTATAAAAAACAAGAAAAGTCACCAGTCAGAAACTCAGTCTTCAAGTAGGAGCTATGTCTCCAGGTTTATAACTCTTTTTAAAAATACTTCTGTCCATTTGCTTGATCCAAAATACGATTTGACATAAAAGAGTTTAGCTACTTTAATAACAATAGAAAAACAAACGGATGCCTGTAAGGCTTCATACACACTATTAGTCAAGCTATAAGCACCATGTTCTAGGAGTTTACCTTCATGGACTGTTTCTCCTCTTCACTGCAACTGCTCACTAATGGATGCCTGTAAGGCTTCATACACACTATTAGTCAAGCTATAAGCACCATGTTCTAGGAGTTTACCTTCATGGACTGTTTCTCCTCTTCACTGCAACTGCTCATGATTTTATCCCCAGATTTAACAAGCTCATCGATAATATCCTTGTGTCTTAAAATATCCATGGTAAATGCCTGATATAGGGGGGAGAAGGAGAGGGAGGGTTACCAAAAAATAATAATAAAAATGCAAGCCAGGTAAACTACTGAATAGCACTGGCATATCTTGAAAATCAAATTACAGAGTAGTACGTTTTCTAGACTGGAAGAACACTGACCAGCCATTAAAATGATAGCTAAAAATACATTTTTTTACCTTTTGAACTTGAAGCTGAGCAGAGGTCTGGTCTTGCTCAAGTCTAATATCACCCAGAGACCTAAGTTTCTTTTCAGTTTCTGCAATCCAGGATAATTCAGCATCAGCGGCTTGATCAAACTAAATCAGGAAGACACAAATTACTTCAGCAAGTTATCACACAAATTCCAGAATAATCACTGTTTATATTTTTAAAGAAATTTTCTTTCTTATAATTTTGCAATAAGGCAAAAATCACTCAGCATAGAGAAAGGTTAAATAATGGTTGGTAATTTCTTTAGTTACGTATGCAAAGAAGTGTTTCTGTCACCACACCGCCTCAGGCACTTGCCCTCTTCTCCTCATTTACACAAGCAGCATCTTAGTTCAGTCCTTCATCCTCTGTTGACTAAACTACAATGTTAGACTAACTGGTCTCCCTACCTTGTCTCTTCTCTTTGTAGTCTATACTCCCCAGAGCTATCAAACTGATTTTCCTAAAGTGCAGGTCTGAACATAACAACCACCCTATTCAATAATCTCCAGTATCTCCCCATTACCCCTAGGGGAAAAAATAGAACTCCCCCGTTTAGCACATAAAGCTCCTCACAACATGGTCCTACCCTACCTTTCTAGCTTCTTATATTCTACTCCCCTCCATGTAGTTTATGTTTCAGACACACAGACGGATTTGTTAATCCTCACATGACATTACTGTTTCTATACCTTTGCTCTGGCTGTCTCTCCCCATGTCTATTATTTTTTATTTGTTTGTGTTTGTTTTGTTTTGGTTTTGGTTTGGTTTTGGTTTTGGTTTTTAGTTCCAAATTCTCCCTCCTCTTACCTCTTCCTCCCACCCATTGAGAAGGCAAGAAAATTAAAATCTCCCATGCTTGAATCCTCATCTTCCTCACCTCTGCCTTTTGGAATCTCTGATTTTCTTTAAAAATTAGATCAAAGTTCTCCTCCTTCTGCATGATTTTTTTCTCATCTTTCTCCTCCTGTCCTCCCTCAGAAAACATACTAGTTAGTACCTTCTCCTCTTAAGTTATCCTGTATCTGCTTGATATGTTTTTAAAGTTACCTATACGTTTTTTGTGTTTGCCTGTATCTGTACCTATATATTTCCCTAATTAAAACATAAGCTCCTCGAAGGCAAATATTGCAGTGCTTTTGTCATTTTGTTCCCAAGTGCCTAGAACAGTACCTGGTAGCCCCTAATAGGTTCTTAAAAGGCTTGAGTGATTAAGATTTTTTTTTCTTCTTTAGGAGTTTGATTAAAATCTAAGCTAGCAAAAGTAAGCACATTTTTCAGATAAGATTAATACAACATCTAAACACTGGAGTGTATTATCCCCTGTGTACATACATTTCAGTGTGGCTTTATGGTTATCCCTCTCTTTGAAATCTGCTTTCAAAGTATTTTTCTTCATTCAGTGAATCCTATTTTCTCACCAATTTTTATTATAAAATTAAAGATGCATTCCAGTGGAAGAAAATGGTATATGATATTATAATGCAACATTTTAAATACCATATTTAACAGAAGTAATAATTTCCAATAATATTTTGTTATAAATGTTATTAACAACACAATTTTAATGTGTTCAAAGTAACTAACAATTTTAGAAGTGAAAAATATAGTATGGTATTAAAAACTGGCAACATGATTATCTGCCTTATATGTATACTTCTCTCAACAGTTCCTACAGTTTTATGTTAGGCTGTTTGTTTTTGTTTTTGTTTTAATCAACTTCAAGTCACTTTGACACTAAAAACTGTAATTGAAGGGAATTTTTGTGTTTTCTGAAATTTTTCACAAAACCTTAAGCTTACTGTTCCTTTAGATTTATTCACCTTATGACTGTGAAATTGACGTTTCAACTGTTTGATTATCAATGACTCTGATAAAGACAGAAGGATATATATCAAATATGTTGATGGCTCAAAGTTGAGAAAGATAGGAAATAGAATTGACATATTCTGTTTTGTAAACTCTTGCTAATTTTTCACAATGAATCATAACCAATAAGTTGACATTTAATTATTTTAGTACTTTTACACTGAGGATTAGTGGTTTTACTTGTGTGGGGACTTCCTCTACCAACATAGGTCACCAACTATCTGTAGACCACCTTCATGAGCCAAAAGCAATGATCACACTGCAAACCTTCTGGCAATGATTCTTTCTGATTTTAGGGACCACAGAACCCAACTAGTCCAATTCCCAGCTAAAGGATTACTCCCCTCCACAACATCAACAGATGGTTGTCAGTCTTGCCTGAACAACACCAGTGATTCTGGATTTAGGGAAGCTAATCCTCAGAGAAACAAGATAGAGTATACCATGAAACACATAAATGAGAATTAGCAGGATCTACTAGAGCTTGCAATTCCACTGTTTTTGTTGTTGTTGTTCAGTCGTTTCCCAGTCTCTGTGACCCAACTTGGGGTTTTCCTGGCAAAGATACTGGAGTGGTTTGCTAGCTCATTTTACAGATAGGAAACTGAGTCAAGCAGGATTAAATGACTTGCCCAGGGTCACACTAGTAAGTGTCTGAGTCCAGATTTGAACTCAGGAAGATGAGTCTTCCTGGCTCCAGTCCAGGCACAAAGTCCAATGTCACCTCTACAACGCTACAGTAAAACTGTGGTGAAAAAGGATGAAATTTAACAAGTGCAACTATAAACTCATAGTTAGGATAAAAAATATACAAGTGTAATATAGGGAAGAATTGTTATGACAGCATTTCACATGAAAAGGACCTGGGGAAAACTAACTATGTTGACCACCAATTCACTGTAGGCCCAACGAGTGATATGGCAACTAAAATAACTGTCATCATCTTAGAACATTAACAGAGACATGTTGCCCAGAAATATGCTACCCATTCTATTATTCACTGTACTGATTAGATAACATATAGAATATTATGTCTGGTTATGAGTAACACACTTTAGGAGGATCACTGGCAAATTAGTGGTTCAAAGGAAGGTCACTTGAATGGGTGGGAGGTGGGGGGAAGGCTTTGGATACCCTGTCACATGAGGAGCAATTGTGAGAACTATGAATGTATCTTGGGAAACAGAAGATTTGAAAGAATACCTCGAGGGCTGTAATGTAGAAGGCCATGAAGGCTAGCATGAAGGTATATTCTAAGCTGCCCAAGGGTCAGAAAATGAACAAATGAGTATACTTACTGGAGCTAGATTTCAGCTAATAGAAGACAGAACTTTCTAACAGCTAGAGCAGTTCAAAAAGAGACTTGGTTGTCTTACAGAGCCTTGAATTCCCTATAGATGGAAGTGTTTAAATGGAAGCTTAATAAACTTACATGCAAAAAAAAGAACTTACATGTAAGATGTTGTGATTTGGAAAATATCTGCATATCATGCAACCTGAAGCCATGAGATTTGATTCTATTTTCAATTAAAGTACCTTTAAAAACAAATGTTTATGTTTTAATGTTCCTATTTTTTGTTTTATTCATGTTTGCATTTATGCTTCCCTCTCTCTCTTATTATACTATATGTTATAGAGTGCGTGCGTGTGTGTGTGTGTGTGTATGTGTGTGTGTGTGTGTGTGTGTACACATACATACATACATATACACAGAGAGAGAGAGAATAGAGCTGTTCTTCTTCTTTAACTTCCCTCAAAACCTAATACTCTGTATACAATGCCTACTCAATAAACGCAGGAAAAGAGTGAGTCAGTAACAACCATTAGGAATGACTGGAAACAATTTAACTCACTGGAAATGTCCCAATTTAGGATGACTCACAAATTATTCTGATATTAACATCTTCAAATGAAATTTATTTGCTGCCCCTATACAAAATGAGAGATGTTTTTAATAAGCAGCTAAATATAGACAGGGTGGTGTCATAGAAAGAATACATGTTTAGGAGGACTTGAGTTTTTTACTCCTTGAATGACACTAGACAAGTCACTTCCAGAGATCTGTAAAATGAAAAGGTTGAACTAGATGATTTATATGGTCAGTTTCCAATTCCAAATCCATTATTCATTTATTAACTGATTACTATTTACAGTATAATGTGATGGCTGTAGCAGGTGATAAAAAGGTTGACCTGTGGTAACAGTAACATAAGCTTCCAGTGGATTACATTTTCTTTAGGGTAAAGTAAAATAAGAAATAGGGTGTATGTGTGTGTATCCCCCCCCCCCGGTAATTCCACAATGCAATCCTTCCATGTAATATATCAGCTAGCTTATTTCTTTCTGAAGAAATAAAAAGAAAACTTATCTAAGTCTGCTATTATTGCTCAGTGATTTTTACTATGTATCTCGCAGTCTTAATTATACTAAGCTCTCAACGCTAATGCTTATTTAATATCTGCTAGCTTTGTTAAGGACTAGCCCAAGGAGAAGGATAAAGTGATATAATCCAAACTTCCCACAATAGAAGGCTGAGGGGGGAAATGTTTCTTTTGCTAACACAATTATTGGTTGTAGATAAAGAAAACACCTGAATATATTACAGTTAAAAAAAAAACTTCCTACCTATGCATCTGGGGAAATGCTAATTAATTTTCTTTTACCATTTTTTACCATTAAATTATGAAAGCCATGGGTGGTAAAGAGAAAGGAAAGTAATAATGGAACAGTGCCTACTTTATATAATCCACATAAAACCAAATATTTTAGAAAATATGATTTGCTTGTGTGACTTGTAAAACTGTATTCCTAATGGATCAAACAAATGAGTCCTTTTAAATGTGAGCAATATTTCTCTCAATGGTACAAACCAACTATCGGTGAATTAAAGTCATGGAATGAGAGAATCAGGGTTGGAAGGGATCACTGGAGTCACCTAGTCTAACCTCTACCTGAGGAATTACTCCCCTCCACAATAGTATCAACAAGTGGTTATTAGTCTTGCCTGTACAACACAAGTCAAAGGTAAGGGTCAACTTATACCATTCTGGGACAGTTCCAAATGTTAGGGGGGTAGGAAAGGGAATAAACATTTATATAGTTGCCTATGTGTCAGGCTAAGTGCCTTTTACAAATATTATTTCATTGACCCTATAAGAACCTGGTGAGGCAGATGCTATTATTTTCCCTATTTTACAGTTGAGGAAACTGAGGTAAATTTTAAGTGACTTGTTCAGGG